ACCAGTCTTATTTTACATATGTTCATTGTATAATAGGTTATAAATTAGAACAAAAGATAGTTGTGAGTCATTTTAAAGATCAAAAGTACAATCATATAAATACTATTTTTGTAAAGTATCTTCATTCTTCTTTTTAAATACATCTTAAGATTTTAAATATTTATTTACAAAGATTGTTGGACTATTCATCACTTCAAATACTAGAGTTGTATAAACAAATAAATAAATAAATAAATAAATAAAAATATATTTTTTTTGTTGTTTTTATGAATTTTTTGCCATCAATAAAATGAAGTTTTATAAATGTAGATAAATAAAGAGCATGGAATTTTCTAATAATTTTAATAATAATAAGTATGGTTTTAAAAAATAATCTATTATATAAGATATCTAATCAGTATGAAGATTATATCTTTCATACTAAAAATGTCCTAAAATGATAGGTATCTTAATAGCAAATGCTAAAAATACAATCAAGATTGATAGAAGCTTAATAATATTAAATATAATTTGACTAATACGATTTTTTAATGTTACTTTTCATATAATGGTTTTATAAATAATACCTTTAGAAAATAAGAATCGACTATAAATAAATTTTATATGGATTATTAATTAAAAATAAATTTTTTTAAAATTTAAATAAACAAATAAAATATATATCAAAGAGAGATTACATGGTATATATTGTAATAGAAAATCTTTATTTTCCTTCAAAGCACTTGATGATGTGGTCACACTATTCAATTAATAAAAATATTGACACTTTTTGTAGAGATTAGTAATCTTGTGTCCATGTTTTCAATAATACAAACATAAGTCGTATTTTTTTTGACACTTCTTTTCTTGTTCAAAAATGGATTTGAATCAAATTGTAGTAAATGGGAGATCTTTTACATCCAAATATTTTTTAAAATTAAAAAGTATAGAAGATGCACAATAAATGCACAATAAATTCTTAGCATAAATAATAGACGTTTATCTTACCAATATTTAAAAAATAAGTGATTTTACTTCATATCTTAATAATTTACTTTATTTAATGATTAAAGATTAAATATGGTCAAAAATAGATCTTTTTGAATTATCTTTTATTTTCCAATAAAATTGACTTATTAATGCTTCTTCTCCCTATTTTATATCATATGCTCATTGTCAAAAATCCAAGGCACAAACTAACGAAGAACATATTCTTTATTGAAGGCTTCAAATCTTTGTTGTTACAAAATAGATCTTATCATGTTTACCAAATGGTTCATCAAATTCTACCAAAATTGTTTCAAAGTTATATAATGTATGAGAATTCTTTTCAAATAATGGAACAAATCAAGACAAAGCTTGACTTCAAAATAAAATTCTAAGAAGACCAACACAAGATACTTTTTAAAAATATTATTGAAGATGGAGTAAAGTAACATGTTATACTTGATTTATATAGCCACAAAACTTTTAATAAGTTCCATCAAATTTATTAGAAAAGTTAATTCATCATTATTTTTTTATTCACATCAATTTACCATTTAAAATACATACATCTTTTAATAAAGTAGATCTTCATCATCAAATTTCTAAAGCAACTTGTAGTTATATCCAAGGTCATTATGTTCTTTGACCATTATATATAGTCATATAAAATTCTTTATTTTTCTTAAATAATATTCCTTGAAATCATTTTAAAAAATACTATAGTATAAAGTTCTTTATTTTTCTTAAATAATATTTATTACAACTGTTAGAATATTATAGTGTTTTCAAAAAAGTCTCTAATCTACTTTTTATCTAAAAAAACCAATCTCTAATATTATATAACCTTAGGCTTGAAAAATTGTTACAAACACATTACTCAGTCAAGTTAAGAATTCCTTCAAGGAATCTCATCAATACTTGGAAGTGAAGCAAGTATCAAAGAATCTTCTACAATCATTTAAATTTTTTTAGAACCTTTTAAGACCTTTTGAAAGCTTCTTAGAATCTGTTAGAACCTATTAATAACTTTTTAAAATTAATAGAAATCTTCTAAAATCTTTTAAGATATAATAGAATTTTTTAAAATCTTTTTTTTTATTTTATATCTACAACATTAATTGCATTATTATGCCAAAATATTTTTTATATAAAATATTTTTATTTTAATTTAGAATTATTTTTGTTTTTTATAATAAAAAATTAATATATGTATATTATAGAATTTAATCATTGTGTAATCAAATATTAAAATCATAATGCCTAAAGCAATAGTAACAATTGCTAGAACTTCAAGAATAAAAAAAAACATTGATTTGAAGTATGTTATTTTATTTATTATCAAAAATTTTAATCAATATATTATATTTAATTTTTTTACATATAAAAAAAATTATTTAAATCATATTTTCTATTAAAATATATTAATTTTTGTCTTCTATAGCTTAAAAATACTAAATTATAATAATAATAATAATAATAATAATAATAATAATAAGGCTCATGATACAAGTTCATCCTAAGTTGCTATATGCACACTCATTATATCTATATACATATCCAAGACTTTTGATTACCTCATCTAGATTTCTTTTTTCTTATCCATGTCCAAGTCTTAATTTCCTTTCTTTTCTACCTTGCCTTGGTAGAGGTTCTATCCTTCCATCCTCCACTCTTTACCTCGGCACAAGACTTAGTCTCATTATTCATTTCTTCTTTGATCCAATGTGTCCTTTTTACTTTTCTTTTAATCTCTACATAGATTTTGTAGTAAAATTGTATGCAATTACAACTTATTTTATGATATCAAATGCTCATAGCTATTGCCTTTGTTGTTTATCTAGGTTTCTAATCTCTACAACATACTTATCCTAGAATCTTTTCTTCACTCCCATCTTAAGGCTTCTTCACTTTCACCTTATATTTGCTTATTCTCTTTATTTTTCTTGCACCTATCTTACAACTATTTACTCTCTCAAAATTATCAACTCTTAGCAATAATATTAATATGAATACTCATTGTAATACATATTTCTAACAAAGTGCTAAAAAATATTTAATAAGCACAACTTTGATACATCTAATTTATAACAAATCTAAACATTACAATCTTATGTATATGCAACAAAATTCAAATGCATCCAAAGTAAACATATTCATTTTTTCTACTTAAATATTCTACTCTAAACTTGGTGGTCATAAATTAGTACTTTTAAAATTAGACTTTCATAAAAATCAAGCAATAAAAATGTTCCAACTTAAATTGAAACCAAGTATAATCCAAATGAACCATATAAACTAACTTAAGTATACAACCACTTTGATTCAAATTCCTTGTACTTTGAATTGTTTGCATAAGAAAGAAAAGGAATGTTTGAGCCACATAAAGTAATAAAATTTACATCTACATATAGGTCAAAGTTGGCTAAAATATAAAAGACTAATTATTTAACTTTTATAGGCCAATTCAAAACTCACTATTTTTCTTCAAATTATTATCTAATACTCTACACATAAAATTTACTAAAAGTTCTAAGTGATCTTATGAAACCCTCTCATTTACACAAAATTAACACTATTAAATGCAATCGTGAGTCTTATAGCAAAGAAATAATGTTTGATTCTTTATAATCCATTTATTTAAGACTTTCTTCCATGCTTGATTGGTGGGCAATGTTAATCTTAAACTTTAGCTACACTTGGTGATTTCCAGGAGGCAAAGTCCGCTTGTTTTCAAAATTTGCACTTCCATGTATAAGAAGAGTGAAACACTTAATGACTTGGGACCTACAAGCTCCAAATCCACCTCTAACTATACTTCTAAGAATAATGTATTAATGGTTTGGATCTTTTTCTTATACATGCAAATAATCTTTTATAAGAAGTTATAAAAAGATCTAATGACCTCTTATGACATGTCAAAAGTCTACCAATTCATTGATGGACTGCTCTACTTTCTCTTTTTGCTTTTTAAAATCAATCAAGGAGAATTTTTGGCTTCATTTTTAAATTGATGATATATTAGAGAATCAAGAGAGGATTTTATATTTTAGACCTAAATGAGTTTTCTAATCAGGCTTGGAAGGAGGTCTTTAGTCTTTCTTTATAAAAAACTTGTTATTTTCCAATTCTATTGGTGAATATTTAGCATGCTTTAAAATTGTATTATGACTCTTTTTCCTATAAACTATAATTTTTTTTCTTCTTATGAGCACTTTTATAAAATTGGATGTATAAGAATAGTATAATTTTATCATATCTACAATGCATCATAATCTCTCAATATGACTATCTCGGTTTTTGAATTTCACACTTTGACTCTTGCTATTATTTAAAATATGAATTTATTGGCATACTTCCATATTATTCATGAACTATGGAATCAATAACTCTTCTCACATGATTAGGTGGTTGGAACCTATGCCATGGCAAGGGAGAAAAAGAGAAGACTAAGGCTTGTGCCAAAATAAGAAAGAAAAGAAGAAGGCTTGGACCTACATAAAAGCAAGAGAGAGAAGGAAGGGAACTAAGGCATGCATCAAGATAAAGAAATAGAGATTTAGATGAGCTAATTAAAAGACTTGAGTGTGTATATAGACATAATGGATGTCTGTGTAGTAATTTGGAGTATGCTTGTAGCTTAAACCTAATAATAAATGGCATTTAATTTTTTTTTAATTAGTGGTTAAAATACCAATTAAAAATTTTGAATCCTTTATGGTTGACACATGCACTAAAAATATAACTACTTTCAATAGAATTAACAAACAAACATAATAACCAATCAACATGTATTATTTATATTTTAAGATAGAATTGATGAACCATATAGATGAAAAGTTTTAATTAATATTACTAATCAATGGTTTAGAAAAAAAATACACTTATTAATTGTATTCATAAGGTATAGAAATTCATATGTTGCAATACATGCCTTGATATAGGTTGTTAAGAAAGTAGATGCTTTGTTTTTACTTCTCATAGTAATGAATGCAATGAAGACCCCCATTTGTGTTGAGTAATAATAACAACAATAAGCTTTTAATTTCGCTTCTATGACCTAAACATGTTTACTTTCAATAAATATTTTTTCACTGTAATTCACCTTATAATTCTACGTATATACATAGATGCATGTGGAATTTGAACATGCTGACCGTATCATTAGGATTGTGTACAGTCCCAGCAGTGATTATTGAATTCATCAACTGCGGATCGGAAAGAATCTTTCAGCAAAAGATATATCGACAAGAACAAAACCCTAGGGTGGAATTAAAGCTACAGAAACGGACTCAAGAACATGAGGATCGAAAGAGCTCAGCAATGGCTGTCGTGAGACTTGCGAATGCATCCATTTCTTTTTACAAACCAGCGTGAATCCACTGCGAGGGCGGCGTACCACTGAGAACCTGTTGTTCATGCGGCCTCGCATATAAATCTAGAAGCTGCAAATTATTTCTTTTCTGACATATTTTGTTACCTCATTGAGGGTACCATCTATCACACACAAATCTGAATCACAAGATTAATGATGCTGCTACAGCGGACCTAAGCAAGAATCTCTCTACTGGAATCTATCACGGTGCTCAAGCGCAGTCGCTGCCTGCGATGTCCGAGCTGCGGAACAGGAAGTGGCCGAGAGTGAGCCCTAGCACAATGGCGATAAATACGCCGCCGTTGAACGACATGGACGCGAGCATGAGCAAGTACCTTATCCCGACGATGACCCCAAACATCAAGGACTCCAACGCTCTCCTGGAGAAGCTCCCCTGAACTGCGCCTTTGTGATGAGAGCTTCTGAAGCCTCCGTCTTCTTCTGTTGGCTTCAACCCCAACACAAATCTCGATTTGACGAACGACAAGAACTCATGCAGCATGGCTAAGAGAATCACGATCAGCAAGGAAACGGCAAACCACCCCCACGACTGCACGCGCCAGAAGTAGAACAGGATCGTCACCTTCTTCCCCCAGTAAAACGTCATTTGCGACATTTCCATCACATGTGTCACTGGAGCCATTTGATGATCCATTTCACTAACACCCAACCGATTCTTACCAAGAACAAATGAACAGAAAAAATACCTCGTATCAATTTTCCAACAACCTCAGGGACACGCTCCAGGCACCTCAATGAGTACTGCAAGGTCATCAGCGAATGTGATGGGAGTTGATAGAGTTGGTTGATCTAGGTGGTTTTCATATCTGTGCTTTGTACTGCAGTTCGCTCGGAATTGTGCGTTTAGCCTGAAAGTATGAGAATCGTACTTCAGCGACAAACTGGATTACGCTACGGGAGCCTCCGTGTTTTGAGTGTTTGTAGTGATGAAAGCTAAGATTCTTCGACTGTACTGTCGTTTGGCAGTACCAAGTAAGGATTGTACTGCGGTGGGACTTTGTAGTACGATTGCTCCCCCGAAGCTCGCAGCAGGCACACTCCGCTACGTTTTCGGGCTTCACTCGAGCCGAAGGGTGATGATCGTAACCGTTTTGGTGCTGTGTGAACACCGATATTTTGAGACCCGGCAGAGGGCTGTGTGAACTGAGATATTAAAATCTAATCTAAATATAGAGAATTGTTAAATCAACCCACCTTTTTGCATAATCGACCCACCTCAACATGAATCACACATGAGAAATCCAGCACCCTCATGCAAATCAAGAGTTGAGTGCCCTCTCAAGGCCAACCAAACCCGATACGCGAATGGATTCTACACATTACGCTGCCATTGACCTGAAGGCACCAATCTGACACGAGAGAATCTGAATTACTCGGGACTGACGAGGTCTAGCCACAATGCAGAGTCACCCTAGATACCCTGCGCTACCTTCCATTCACCCCACCCCCTCAAACCTGTGATTGACTCTGCTTCCAGCACAAGGCTTTGTGGCACCACCCCCAGAGGGCTGCCACAGAGCGAGATCATCAGTATAGTCTTTCATCAACGCATCTCCACAGCTGGACTCAGCATCGCCACAGTGTCCATGCGTCGATTTTGTAAAAGGGTGGGTCAATTTAAAACATGACTTCAATATGTGAATTGTTCTCAAAACCTTAAAATATTAAAGGTTTATAGATTAAAATCATGAAAACATGTTTTAAACATAGGTTTTTGACTCACAGTAAAACATGAAGGAATAGTGTACTCAATAAGATACATACATGTATATGTATATGTATATATATACGTACATACATGGAAGTTTTCATTTCTAATTAAACATAAATGCCTATATTTTCTTTTAATTTGTATTACATATATATATATATATATAGAGAGAGAGAGAGCGAGAGAGAGAGAGAGAGAGAGAGAGCGAGAGAGAGAGAGAGAGAGAGATTAGATATGATGCTGAACTTTTTCAAACCATTATAAGTATGTAAAATTGTGTAGTCATTTTCATCAACATTTTGGTGAATTTTATCATACTTGTGATGATATTGTGTGTACTTTATTTATTTATTTATTTATTTATTTATATTATAAGTGTCTAATATCATCAACATGAAACATTGCTTTCATAAAATCTTACATTCGTTGCCAATTGCAGAGCAACTTTGATCTTATTATCTTTGTTAGAAATCTACCACCTTTATTGTTTGGATGCCTTTTTGAGGTGGTAGACAATCTATTTAGAATAGTACATATTTTTTAATTAACACCAAACAATCATAGATTTTGTAAGGATTAATCATCAACAAAAAAAATCTTATTAAAAAGAACTGTATTAAATAATAACTAAAATTTATTACAATTTTTGAATTTAATCATTTAAATGTTGAGACTGAACTCTTGGCCAAATTTATTTGTAACAATATTGGTCATGTTTATACACAACAGGATCCTTTTTTTTTCAATTGTAGTTATCATCTACAATTTAGTATATTTCAATTTCCAGAAGCAAAAAATTAAATGTGCTCTAAAATTTTGAGCAAAACTATTCAAATTCAATTCCATGAATTCTTAGGAGTAACATGCTTTGTTTCTAATTTAGCCATTCGCATTATTTCGTTCTCTTTATATTAATTCTATGAATATGAAAATCCATGAAAAAATATTGATGTTGTGTGTTTTTAATTGTCGGCTCAGAATAGCATCAGAGAACACCAGGTGCGGAATTAGGCCCCATGGACCTAACACCGTGTACACTTAGCTCGTTTCCACCGTGGACCTGTCCCCATCCACCCTCCCCCCAGGTGGCGGGCAAGAGAGGGCGGGAAGAAGGAGAAGCGCGCGAAGCCAATCTCATTCAAATTTGCAGAGCACATTAAGCAGACGTTAACAATAAGTTTCTTCCATCGTCCACGTGGTTGTGCAATTTGAAGTGATGAGCAATTGGAGTTGCTAGCAGAGATCGTGAGTCTGTTTCTCTGGACTTGCGGGAAGTGAGAATTGGTGCCGAGGCTTCTCTAGAGGGAATTGTGTAGGAATTGGACTCGGATGAGGATAATTCGGCGTAGGATCATTTGGCTTCTAATGACCAGGGAGTTGGCCGTTCCCTAGACTTTTTTTTTTTTTTTTTTTTTTTTTTTTGTCCTTTTCCTTTTCCTTTTCCTCCGAGGTTGATAAGTCTATATTATATTGCATTGAAATTGCTGGAGTATTGCTAGGGACACATTCGGATGTAGGCGGGGGGATTGGATGTAGGTTGCGGTTTCGAGAATTCTGAGGCTGTAGAGCATAAGCCTCTTACGAAAGTCTCAGTAAAGACAATTACTAGGGTCGTGTTCAAAGATTAAAGAGGAGATCATGGGGAAGTCGAGTGTACTTGACAGGCGCAAGTGTCATGAAGGGGCCTAAAGCATAAGATAAACAACTTTGTTTAATCGATAGGTTTTTGACGTCCGGATCGTCACTTCAAATTTGACTGGGGCTGTCTTAAGTTACTTCTCCCATCATGCGAAACTATTTTTCTTCAGAATGATGGAAGGAGTCAGGACGAAGCGTTGGAGGTTTTTCAAACTGATGCGTGAGAACGGGAAAAAAGTGTATGTTTGTTCCAGATTTTAGTAGCGAGAATAAAAAGATGAATGGACAACCTTCTAATTAACATGTAGGGAGGTGGTTGTGAGCCGGGTGACTACACATTCATGACCTTGACTATGAGGGCAAGCAAGGCCAATTGCGCTGACTATGCCGCGAAATCTTTCCAGACAATGTTGAAGAATTGGGGTTCAGCCTGTAAAATGAACTGAAGTACGAGGATGCTGCATTAGCACTATGGTGATGTTGAGGAAGCATGGATATGAAGTTGAAGCGTCCGAGCATGCGGTTACCACTCGTACCCCGCTCAGTAACATGTGCGAACTTATTATCGCACATGTTGCAGAGCGGGGTACAAGTGGTGGCCGCGTACTCTGCTACGATTGCAGTTTACACGCGTGACGGTTTGTTTGAGTAAGAGCAAATAATGAATGATATGAGGAACAACGAGCTAGCGTCCAATAGACAACTGTGGAGAAGCAGCTGAAAAACTAATGGACAATAGGGTGTAATCAAGGAAGCGGAGCACATAATGGATACAATGGAGAAATTAGGTTAGAGTATAACGTCGAAATACCTTGAAGCGTGTCACACGCCCATGAATCAACCAGTAGACCTTGTCTGAAGCTGCCCTTGCTTAAACCCTAAAACAACCATTCTTCCTGTAGAAAAATTCCAAGCCCATTTCAAGCCCACTAATGATTGGTAAACTTTATAAGGATAAAGTTGGTGGTTTAGTGTGATGGAAGTGGTGGTTTAATGTGTTTTTATGGACGGTTTTGGCCAATTGTATGTGTTGGTTCAGGGGCTCAAAGTGTAAAACCCTTTCAAATTTTACATCAATTAAACCAATACAGATTTTGTAATTTTTTTTGTTTTGAAGCACATCAGAACCTTGTTTCTCCACCAATCCCCCCCGAGATAGCTGAAATACCTAAAGTTGTTGCTTTAAGGTATTCCGACGTTAGGTGCCATGCGTCATGACTTCATGATCTTTGCAAATGGAAATGTAGATCTGTGCAACAAATCGGATTGTCTGGTCAAGAAGATGAAGAAAGAGGACCTTGACCCAGACGAGGTCAGCTTATTTCTGGACACTGGTTGGGTTGATGACACGGAAAGCTGTGGCACTTTGGTACGCGTTTACTTGAGATTAAGCATACAGAAAGGAGCCTTGCGAACATTTTCCACCATGCGCGAATCTGGTGAGGTGCCGAACGGTTACATGTGCCGCATTCTAATCTGTGCACGTGAAGATGCAATGTGTGTTCAAGAAAAATCAGATTTTTAAGTATTCTACATTGGTGACCTCATGCACTTGATGAATGTCCATGGGTTCATGACCGGTAATAAACTGAAGGACGAGGACTGTTGTTTTCTTATAAAGTTAAGTAGTTTATCAGGAGGTCGAACTATTCCATGTAATCAATCATCGCCTAAACCGTGTTAAAGTGGCTTACTTCCGCATGAGTATCGAAGAGAGAATTGCAGGCTCCTAGGGAACCTCATTGACCTGCATTCTACAACCTTCTAAGGGCGGCCTCCACACTTGGAAAATCTTTCGCTTTGAGAACTACTTAACCTTAAAATCTGATTAATTCGTATTTCCGGCACATGCCAATATAATCAGTACCGTATTATATGAACTTCAAAATTCAGTCTTCAAATCACCCACTCCAATTGGGAAGAGAAGATTTTGCTCTTCAAGTTGATCTAACGTCGACAGTCCCTCATGTGGCTGTTATTGTAAGGTGGTATAGGTAAGGCGAAATTATTCTTTAAATTTATTTCCAGATTTCCCACAACAAAAACAAAAAATTCTCAGTGATTTTAAATTTCTGTTCACCATATTTTGAGGTTATCTGTTTTTAGTAATGTCAAGGTGCAACTCACCATCAGACATAGCAAGTCGGACAATTATCTTTCTGCAATTTTTGCTGGGATATGACGACAGAAATGCAGATTTCATGGGGGCGAAGAAGACCATTTAGTCGTGTCTGGGTCGAGATTTCTGTGTTGACGTAATTGTCCTCTTCCCAAATCATAACAACGGTTCATGCTGTAGATCTAACCATCCAGCACTTTTCTTATGTCTGTTCGAGCGTCTCTTCTGAAGCCTACTCTATTTTTGTTCATTCTTTAATCGTCACAGTAGGATGCTATGGAAGTATTCGTGGCAAATCATACTGTGCAATTCAAAAGTTATAGGACAAAAAATCCCTTTGTGTTCAAGTCTTAGTGACTTCATCTTTTTGTGATACTTACCTTCGAAGCACTGGCAGGAAGAGGGAAAGTCGGCACAGGCCCCAAACGTAGGTGTTAATCCAAATCTGTCGATGACAAAAAGGTTTTTTCACAGACGAGTGTGGGGAACGTCGAGAAGAGGGATCCCAGTTACAGTAATCTCCTGCCTGGGTAGCATAAAGCCAATCTTTAAGTCCTCCATACATGTCTTCATGTGCAATATCATGTTGCTACGACGCTGCCACCTTTCACCAGACTCCTATCCACCACAAAATTGCGGAGAAAACAGTGAAGTTTGCAAGTTTCCTATTTGGCTTAACCATCAGGTCAAAGTGATCGTTAATCTGTGTAGTTTATGACACTACAGAAAACAAGTTGAAAAGTATTCAATGGTGGATAGTTGACGTTGCAAGGGCATATAATTCAAGCATTGCATTTTAAATCAGTTCCACAAGCCGATGGCATAGATGCCTAACCTGGAAGTTCATGTGATGCTGCATCCAAAGAGCCATCTTCATGCGATTGCTGTCCTCAATATCTTTGCACACTAAACGAAACGTAGGATACCAGTACTGTGGCAAACTCTCAATATACTTGGTCATCCTCTCCTTCAAGATTCCTATTTTCTCACATGGGGTACTTGAGTGAATTTGAAATTCTATGGCATCCCATTGGTCAGGGCTGCGGTAGAGGTTGGAGATTGGTTTTGATGCCAAAACAGAGTTCGGGTAGTAGACTTTCTCATTCGAACCACTGTACCAATACACGAATTTTGTCAGGCACGAACATGTTGTTAAGAAAGCGACACGCCACGTACTTTTGAGCAAGATTTAATAAATCGACGAGCATTTTACAAGAGATGCTTCCAACAAATCAAGAGCAATTTACAAATACAACGCTATAATTATGTTGAGTACCTCAAGAAGATGGTGTTGAGAATGTTCATTTCCTGCAGATATAATATTAATAAATGAAAAATCAGCATACATTTAGGAAGTAATAGCCAGGTCTCAGTTCCTCCCCTCCTCACATTAAAACTGATGATCATGACGCTTTTTAAATATAGATGATGCAAGCAGATCATATTAACTGAGAACTAAATGGATTACACTCGGACAGTTTCAAGTCTGGTTCAATATGCACGTTCAAACAGCAATTTCTGCGTCAAAATATAAAGACACACTATTAAGGGGTCAAGATGCACCTCAACAACCAAGGAAACGTTGTCAACATTAATCCGGTCACCCACATCAAAAGGATGCATAATGAAGAGGAAGATGAGGGACTCAAATGTGCTCCTTGCTGCATTGCCGAAGACAAACACAGAAGGAAGCAATATTGAGGAGAAAGCAACCAATAGCTTCTGCGTGTTGACTCCCATGATGAGAAAGCAAATCGTCAACAAGATGGCCAACATAAGCTGCATGACTTTTCCAACAAAAATGTGAGATCCTGTAATGACTTCTTAACCTGTAAGGCGTGAAAGTGGAATTCCAAATGTTTAGCTAGCCATGAAAATATGATGATCATTACCAATCTTTATACTAGAAGATTTTTTTAACCTCAAGTATATAACCAGAGTCAATTTTGTTTGCACTAAAATCAGCAGCCCGAATTGTAAGTGTTCATCTATGGAACCTACTCCTAGAACAGTGCTCGGGAACCTGAAGGATGTTCTTGCAACAAGTTTGTAAATATACATTATGAGTGAGTAAGTACACTTACAACATCAAGGACGCGATGAAGTTTGGCAACTACAGTGCGGTTATCACTAAGGGTCAGGGACAATGCCTTGCGCTCCTTGTAGACACTAACCACCCATTGCATAAGGCCCTTTTTCGAAATATGTCCTTGATCAGTAACCTCAAACAAGCCAAATGCCTTCGCTGCCTTGTCCTCGGGCAAAAACTCCGTGAAATTATCTAATGTCAGGTACTTCGCACCTGGGTCGGCCATGTTGTAAAAAATCTGTGACAAAATCATGGTTACTAGATTTCCTCAATTGATATAGAACACACAGGAGTGAGATACCGTGACTGTAACCTCTTCTTAACCACAGATTGAACAAACTAATGCCAGTTGAGTCGAAAATGTTTGCACTGCTCAACTGGCTTGTTTGATGTAAATAAGGCTCAAGATTGAACAAAATCAGGGTTTTCAACTTGGTCACTAGAAAAATGTTTCTCAAATACCAGTCATGAACGTCTGCAGTAGACAAAATCATTCAAATAAAACTTTCTGGGATGCCTATTCAATTTACCTAGTCAAAAAGAAAGATGCACACCTGCTTAGCCGCAGATTTAGCTTGGGCTTCACTATCAATCTCCCAATCGGCTGACAACATCGATGAGAACGTCGACATGTTGTGGGTTCGAACCAGCTTCATCAATTTCTTCAAGGTCCACGGTGACACTGACTGAACCAGGAGGGGCATGGCAAACCCGTTATCACTTCTATGAATGCTCAAATATGACAACTGAATAATGCAGTAATTCTTTTAGAATAGTTTACACAAAGAAGGAAAACGACAAGAAAATAATACTGAAGAATTTAGTTTTTAGAAACTCACATCAGAGGTCAATCCTTGTAACTTATCCTGTGCAATGATAACGGCTGGCTCCACAGTTTTGCCATCAATTACAGCTGGAAAACCAAGGTAGCTAGCCCTAGCCCTGGAGGTTTGTAGACCTGCTGCAGGACTAAAACCTGTGCCAAAATGGCCATCGTTGTTGCTGGTTGGACCTGGATGTGATGAAGTTTGCGCCGTACTTGAGAATTGCATTGCAGGAATGGGAGCTGTAAATGAATAAAGAAAATTCTTCAATCAATAGAATGTGCTGCATCCTGTCTAACCAATTTATCTTGGTAATGTCCTCACATTTAGTAGATCAGCGTTTACCAAGCAATCCTACAATAGCAAATCAGACTTACAAACCAATTCTAATGGATACACCAATTATCTTTTACAACATCGCACATTGTATGAATATAAGGACTGTTCATTCGCAACATTCATATACTAGTTGCTCTCCAAAAACCTCTCATCAGTGCAGTTAATGCCACATGACACTGAGAATCCATCCGTACATTGCACCACGAGATTTTAAACTACCCATGCACCAAGTACTGACTTGACCATATATGGACATCTTTTGATGACTTTGTGCCCTTGATATCTATCAAACGCCGTTGACCAAGAAGTATCCAAAATCGAGTTTGTTCTTCTGATGAACTGAGAGATACGAAGACAAAGTAATATTAATTTGTTAACACAGTGCGCTTAATGTGATACATTTATTCATCGATTACAGAATGTGACATTAGTGTGTTAACACATGTGTTTTACCTGGGGATGGTGGAATAGGATCTAAACCCCGTTGAACAACAGGAGCATGAGAACCGTTGATATTTATTGTATGCTCCTGGCCCCGATACCACAAAGATCAGATTTAAGTTTATGTTTTCAATAGTTAAATTGATTGTCCAATTAAATTCACACACTAGGTAGAAGAGAATCAGAACTAAAGCTTAGCGATATAAAAAGATATGCCTTATTATCGTACCTGCGTTTCCAACTCTGAAGCCTTCAAAATTTTATTAGCTTTACTTGCTTCTGACGAGTTAGTACGATAGTACGTTCGTCCAACGGCAGAATCTGGCTCCTGGTTTACAGGTTCCTGTCGGCCATCACAAAGACTTGAGTTCTAACTCTAGTGCGCATAGAAATGGGAAAATTTAGAGTTCCACCAAGATCCTAGTCATTTGCTAATAATTACCCGTTTGACGCTGGTTTCAACTGCCGGCCCTGTACCATAACCCCAATAGTAGTCGTCTTCGAATGATTTTGGTTGCGATATCGTCTCTAAAACGTATTGATGAAACAAGCAATCCTGAATCCTATCAAAATAGGCTGCACGATGAAAGCTATTGGCTGCGGTTTTAACAAATAAAATTTTTGCCATCCACAATACTGACGCGGTGAAAAAGCACCACAGAATCTGTTCCCAAAATCCCAACCAGTTCCCACGTTAGTTGCCGGCCAAGAATGGATTTGGTTGAAACTAACATTATTGCTGAACATGCCAGATGCAGCCAATCGCAAACTCTAGCGTCAACTAAGACACAAAGATAAAGCTTGTGTTAAGGAGATATATAATTGTACCTTTGTGATCACAGGAACGGTATTTTGATCGGTATTGTTTCTGAGAATGACCTTCCAGGTTCCAATGACCAGCGCCAACCATATGCAGTTTTTGAAAGAATGCCTCAATCCATAGACAAAGTACAGAACTCGGCGTTTGAGTAGGAAATGACGTTCTATCAAGAAAACAAGGAGCTGCCCACAATTCCATGAATCCCGTGAGTTATGTGAATATAAGCAGATGCAGGTGATTTGTATCATTTAATGTAGGATGAGCTTCTGCAATGGTCACAGCTCTTTCTAAAAAGGAGAGGATGAAAATAAAACACTATACCTGGACTGCCCAACCAGCGACGAGTCGACCACATGTCACCACAAGTGCAAGAGTAAGCCATTGCCATAGAATGATGTTATACCAATGAATGCCTTTCATAGATGGTATACGGACAGAACACGCGAGGAGGACACACGCAGTAACGAGACAGGACCACTGTAATATATGAAGCCGGCGGTTGCCCGTCTTCTTCCATTTCTTGTACTTTGGAATGGACTCGTCATCCAAAGGATCAATCTGCATCACCGGGGAGGTTAACATATTCATGTTTGTAGTCTAAGCAAAACGCGTCTAAAATATATTGAACGTTTCCTTCAAAATTAAAGCTGATACGCGGGATAAGCTTAAGACTAGCTTGTTTCAAGGGATCTACCTCTTCTTCTGGAGGCGGGAAAGGATGTGGTGTGGCTGCAGAACCTCGAGGTGTGAAGAGCGCGGATGCCATGGACCTGAGCTTTCCTGGTGTAGCTGCAGCAAATGAGGCAACGTGGCTCAAATTTCCAGCCACTGAAAATTTTCGACTAGTAGGCATACCCCTGCTTGTCATAGGCGGCGGATATTCTTGATCTGGGCTGTTCCCGAAAAGACGGCCCCTGGAAACAAGAGCACTGACTGCGGGCGTCATGGGAGGAGGGTCTTGAAGGCGTGTTTTGAGACGAGTCAAGGCCCTGGGTGGCTTCTTGTTCATCACAGTGTGTGCAACAAACGAGGATGGCGTCATAGTAGGTGACGCTCTCCGGCTGTCCTCTTGTTCGCTCCCATGCGGTGATGGTTGGGGTGACTGTTCAGTAGGCAGTGTCAAAGCTTGAAGAAAAGGCTTCCGAGGTGCCTTTAAAATCGGCGGAGGCAGAACTGCGGCAACAGTTTCAATTGGGAATTCGAACTTGTCAGGATCCGGCTCATCGCGAGCGCGTTGGGATGCAACTGAAGATGATGCAGCACCAGTAGCTTCCATCCATACCCGTCCCGGCCTGCTAGTGGTTCCTTCATCGTGCCCTTCATCGTCTACTGTCGAATTCTGCGAACCTTTGCTCGCTTGAAGAATATGCGCATCCTGTGCACCAACCGGTGCTGGAGTTATAGTTGAAATTTGAACGCGAGCTGCATTACTTTTCATTTCATCAGCGGTCACCGAGTAAGACATAGCTTGCGACATCTCCTTGCTCACGTAAGACGTAGAGATATCATCTGGCGCATGCTGCATGGCATGAGCACCTGCCAATTGTGCGAACTCATCCTCTTGTGCCCCCTGCACTACCGCCTGCGCTGCAACAAAATCTGACGGATCACCCATCGCAAATCTACCAATCACAACCACAAACCCTTCCAAGCTCACTCAGCATTTCAATAAGCCTTCCCTCTCACGCATAAACCTCCGAACCTACACATCCTGTTCAACACAACCAACCGCGACTCGCAGGAATCAACACCACGATTCACGACCTCTACACCACCCCGCACTCAAACGCCGCCAATATATTAGCACTCCAGGCCACATCCACGCGACTTTCATAAACCTCCACGAAACAATCTGCGGTTGCACACATTGACATCGCAAAGCAACCTTCGCCTCCGTCCCCTCCTATCCCGACCTCCGCAACGCCTATGGAGACGTCATAAGCCATAGTCCTGCGCCTAAGCTCCTTCATCATAACCTGTGGAGCTCCGCCATCACGGCGATCGTAACGCTCAGACGAACCAGCCCCGGCGGAGCATGTGGTTGTCTCTTCCAATTCCAGGGGGGAAAAAAGGCCACGGCGATGCAACTGGAAGGCGAATTGGCGGAGTGGCGACGGCGATGGCGAGGTCAAGAGAATTAGGGCTGCGAGGCCGAGACTTCTTCTTCTTCTTCTTCTTCTTCTTCTGTTTAGGCTTTCCTTCCCCTTCGTTCCTATTCCTTGCTTGGTTTCATTGTCCACAAGCAGGGCTGGCTCCATTCCTTCCTCCCCCTTGGAACACTAACTAACTGACTGAGTGACTCTCTTGGGCCTCCTTCCCTTTCAGCTGACATATATAACGTGGGCCAATCGAGGGAGGGTGCTGTAGAACGCGTTCACACCTACACAGACAGGAATGCTCACAAGGTCAGTACATACACCACAATATATATATATATATATATATATATATATAGTGTGATTATTTAATTAATATTTTTCTATAACAATAATAATAATAATAATTTAAAACAAAAATCTGCAGTATTCTCAAGTTTTATCTGGGTTGTTGTTGTTGCTGTTTTTGCTTTGTTTTTGCTTTGTTTTGTTTTTTTTTTTTTTTTCATCTTTTTGGACTAAATTTAAAGCATGTGAATTTTGAGCATCATAATTATATCATAAAAAAATAACAGATTTTGCACAGCTTTTGTGCAACAAAAAAAGATTGATTTTGGAGTTTTAAGTAATGATAAGCAATTTTTATTGATCTAGCCACATCAACTTTAGTATTTTCTTTTTCATAAAGCTTACATCCAAATTATTTATGGTAAACATATCTTTTTATTAAATCTTACTAAAAAAATTTAAAGCAAAAATTCATATATATATAGTAATCTTAAAAGATCAGAATAAAAATCCAAACACAAGATTATTCATGTCTAGTAATTGATATCATAATTAGCGCAATATGTTTTTATTCCATGCTTGAATTTTTATTCAACTAAGATGCATTTATTTCATAAAAAATATTTATATTTATCTTACTTATTTAATTTATTAAATTAATTATATCTTGCATGTAAAACCAAACAAAGATGGTAGTAGATCAATTTTTTTTTCTTGTACAAATCATAAAATATCTTGTTAGTATTTGCACATTGTGTTTATCAAATATAAGTATTGATTTTATATATATATATATATATATATATATATATTTGGATAAATTAATACTTATAATTAGGCCTCTTTAAACTAAGGCTTTCTTTGAAATATCTAATTTAGCTTATTTTAGGATTGCAGCTAGGTTTTATTTTAGATAAATTAAGAATGGATGAAATTTGTCTACAAAATTATCTAAAAGCATCCATCCTCATCAAATTTGACAAACTCTATCAATTATTTTAGAATGTAGAATAGAATAAGAAGTTCGTGAGGCATTGCCAATATCCATCCTTCTCTCACCCAGTTATAGAGAAGTCAGATTTGTCAATACTTGTGTTAGGAAAAATGGAGGCCAATCTGCCACAAAATTTTTGAAGTTGTGGAAATTGGCTATTGCAATGAGCTCATTCAATATGAAATTCTATTTGCAAATTGGAGCACTTGTCAACAGTGTCTTTGAAGGTTATTTTTTTTGCAGTGTTGTATTGTGTAAAGTCTTGCTTGAGAATGAGCTGGGCACTTGGTTGTCGAAGGTACAAGAAATTTACAATAACAAGTCCTCATAATTCTAATAAAAATATTCATAAATTAAAATTAGAGCTTAACAAACATAATCAAATATTGATTAGGCTCAATTAAATTTTAAATAAATTATAAAAGAAACACAAAGAAATCCTTAAAAACTTCTAAAAAAATCATAAAGAAATTATAAAAATATTTCAAAGAAATTCTTATGAAATCCGAAAGAAATCCAAAAGAAAAAAGAAAAAAGAAATCCTTAAAGAAATTCTAAAGAAATCCACAAGAACCTTAAAGAAATCCTTTAGAAATCTTTAAAAAGATCCTAAAAAATCCTTAAAAAATCCTAATTAGATTCTAATCTCTAAATCAATCTTAATTAGATCCTAAATCCTAAATCAAACCATAACCAAAATGTAACCAATTCAAATCAATCCTAAGGCAATTTTAGAACCTCAATATCTATTGATTAAACTATTGATCTTGCTTAAAATTTTATGTATCTCTTAATTTTTTAATTAATAACAAGTAAAATAAATTTGAAGAGTATTGAATTCACCAAATGGGAGAAAAATGTCATAATTCAGTTAGAGGTTAGCTAACCTCCATCTTTGACCTTAATGTTAATCTTCCAACAGCAATATCTCCTGATTGAATTGTTAACTTGTACTCAAATTTTGCATAAGTATTGGAAGTCAAGTCAACTATTAGTTCCAAAAAAATCACTTCAATTCAATTGGCAAATTGTTGCAAATCTTACATAACCTTACTAGACCTAAAAATCTAATTTTTGAGATCCTAATTCACTTAAATTTTAATAACCTCCAATCCAATCATTTGATTAAGTTCAAATTTATTACATATATTAAGCATAACTATATTCACAATTCTACAAAATTCCTTTTATAAATCTTATGTAGAATTCACAAAATATGCCAAATTATAAATCTTATTTTATTTCACAAAATCCAAAGTCATCCAAATCAACTATGAATTTTCAAAGCTCTTACAAAGTCATTACAAACTCAAATCACTTGAATTCAATATTTTAAAAAACCTTATAAAGTCTTCTCTTGAATTCAATTCTTTGATTTCCAAAGGAACTCGAAAATCACTGTAGGAATGTAGTTTTGTGCCTCAACATTTGATTTTGACTCAAGTTGATAACTAGTCCTCTCTAGGTATCAATTTTTAACAATTTGGAATAAATTTTACTTTAAAATATTATTAATTATCTTTTAAATATACTTATATTAATTTCTTATCTTATTTACTTTAATTTGGCTAATTTATGCGTCTATAAAGTAAATAGAAGTCTCTTTTATAAAATATAGTATTAAGACTAAACTTTTTAATACATTTTTCTAATTTATCATTGTCTTTCTATTATATCTTTCTACTAGATTCTTTTATAACAACATCCATATTTTTATTTTTTACCATATAATTGTGTTACTATACAATAGCGATAGGCGTGCACTATTATTTGATGGTCATTTTTAATATTATCAATGGATTGAACAACTTGTCCAATTGTAGCATATACCAATAGATAGAAATCCATAGTGGAGATGTTTATAGTATACACAAATTATAAGGCAACACTTTTGGAATGTCCTCATTATTGACATTATTCTTGCAATTATATTTGAAAATAATAGACTTAATATTATTGACAAATATAAGAAATAAGGCTACTACTTTATAAACCACGACCTCGGCCTTGACTGAAAGTAGTAAAGCCATGAAGTTCATCAAGAATGTGCCTTGATCTTGAATGAGAGTCTATGTACTTGTAAAAGCCACATACCAAGGTTTTTAAATAACCACATTTGAAGGACCATAAGCCATGGCCAAAGTCTTCATAATGTATGGACCTTGCATTTTGCATAAACCTACCAAAGATTGAATCAAACGTTCAAGTTGAACTTTTTATTGATTTAAAAGAATACTCAATCTTTGCAAGCATATGTCACAAACATACTCATGTAAGCCAATAATTACATATATAAATAGATAGAAGTAAGTAAAAGTAGATAAAAATAAGTTAATTCTATAGTATTTGGTATGGAAGCTTCATAGATGCTGCTTTGACTTTATAGGTGTCTTTAATTGACTTTTTGGATTAAAAACGTGGTCAACAAGTTGGCCATGTGCCACATATGTTATTAGCTTGAAGACCAAGCTAACAATGTGGCCCACACGTAGAAAAACTTGCCTTGTAAGTCAAGGCATGTGTCCTACAAAGTCAACACATGTTGGAGGTCCTATACAACGTCGCCATGTAGCCCCTAGTTAGATAGTATATATAGAGACAAGAGTGAAGCCTTCTTCACTCTTGTCAACTTCTTTCTTGTTTTCAGTCTAGTTTCAAGAGTCTTCATATTTTTCTAGTCTTTGGCAATAGCCATTCCAGTTTTTCTTTCAATATACATACTTGTTTATTTATATTTTGTTACCTTTCTTTGAATGAAGGCTCACTTGTCTGAATTGCTTTTTCATCCAGTTCTTGTCCTTGACAGCATATCATGATACTGGATATTATCTCTGCAATATCATCAAGTACAAGTAGTACTATCTACCAAAATGACAAAGAGATATATGCAAGCAACTTCTATACAAGGTACTTATACATCATTGCAGACTCTTATTGCAAAAATCCACTCAATTTTTTTATAAATAATAATTGTATGTCCATGAATTTTGAGCATGTACAATCCATCCTCCCAATGAAATTGTACTACCAACAAAGATAAGAAATAAGGCCCATCAAGATGTTGATGAATTGATCATCATTCAGCTTAACATATTTGGTTTAGACCACGAGGTCAAGTTCATGCAAAACATACTCTACTTGCTTAGCTCCATCACCAACTGCCTCAGTCATTCTCATTATGATGCCAAAAACTTGCCCACTTATTATTTACTCACCATTTGTGCTAATTCTAACTAATTGTGTCTTATATTTTGGAGCAATGATATCAAAAAGTTTTGTACTTGCATTGAAAATTAATTTAGTTGTCTTATGATTGAAAAGCAAAATGGAAAGAAGGTGGAAGTTGTACAACTTTGATTAATGCTCAAATCAAATTCAGAAGTTAAGATAAGAAGTGTCTTATTTTAAGCAAATGTCAAGAGTGAGCAAAAATGTCCACTATATGTGGAGGAGCTTGGTGATTTTTTAGAAACTCATAGCACAAACTACCTTTACAAATGAAGCCGCACGGTTGTTATTGCACCCATTGAAATATTCCACATGTAATTAAATCTTTATGACATCTACAAGATATGTTGCCATTCAAAATGAGGTTCCACAAGAGACAAAGTCAATCATAAAATGGAACAATGAAAAATAATTGATTTTTACCTTGTATACTTTATAGTTCAGATCTTGCTCTCTATCAAGCTCAATTTGGTCATTGTTTGCATCTTTGAATAACTTGAAAATTGACAATGTTCATTCATGAGTAGACATGGATTCCTTATCATTGGCATTGAACATGTCACTAATAATCACATCCACAATGTCCCAATTAATTATAAACATGAGTACTTTCTCAGTCTTGAAATGAATTGCAATGGTGTTTTTAAAATTCACTTAGTTAAAAAATTGCTTAATTGAGGCATTTGTATTGTACACTGTCCATGCTTTAGCATTGTTATGTGGCAATGCAATGATAAAGTAAAAAAATAAAAATATAGATGTTATTATAGAAGAGCCTAGTAAAAAGATGTAGTAGAAAAATAAGAATAAATAATAGAAATATAGTAAAAAATTTAGTCTTAATAATGCTTTTTCTAAAAGAAACTTCTACTCACTTTATAGAGGCATAAATGAGCCAAATCAAAGTAAATGAGATAAGAAATTATATAGACATATTTAAAAAAGAATTAAAATTAGATTAAAAAAAATTACTTCAAATTACCAAAAATTGATATCTGAAGAGGATTAATTGTCAACCAAGGTCAAAATTAAACCCCAAGGCATAAAATTGCATCCATACAATAACTTTGAAGGTTCTTTGATATATTAAAGAAGTGGATTTGAGAGAAAACTAAAAGAAAGATTTTTGGGCATTGATTTCATATCATTTGAATCAATATTGAGATTTTGAGAGATTTTTAAAGTTAGTGATGTTCTTAGAAAGATGAAGGTTTGAGAAATAAAAATATGTTTATAAATTTAAGGATTTCTTGAGTTTTGTCATGTGTGTTCAAGTAAAATTTGGACAATATATTGATGTGCTAGTTGTAAATATGTATGCAAATTTTGATGTCAATCAAACAATTAAATTAAAGTATATGAGGGCTTTTGTAGATTGAGGTCTTAGATTTTGGAATTTGAGGATCAGTGAGTATTTCTAAGATCTTTAGCAATCTATCAATTGGATTGTAGTAAATTTTATATATATATATATATATATATATATATATATCAGACTTGATTTACAATGTTTAGGTAAAATTTGAGAGAAATTTAATTGTTTAAAAATGAAATATTGGCACTAGAAGTTTAGTATTTAGGTTGAAGTAGGAGGTCGCCAACACTCAATTGGATTTTCTTGCATTTTTCTCAATTGATAAGTGCAATAAATTTCATCTTTCTTGTGCTTATTCTTTACTAAGATATTAAAAAGTGCACAAATTTTGAGTTCATATTAATGGTTCAGTCATTAGTTATTGAGGTTTCAATCTGCTCTAGGATATATTAAGAGTTTGTTTAAGATTTAGAGTCTAATTAGGTTTTGCTTAGGATTTAATTTAAGATTTGTCTAGGATTTAGGATTTATTAGGATTGTATTAGGATTTTATTAAGATTTGATTAAAATTCCATTACAATTTGATCTAGAATTTGGTTAAGAGACATTAGGATTTTAGTTTGGATTAAATTAGAATTAGTTAGGATTTATTTTTTTAATTTTATTTTTAGTATTTCTTTAGGATTCTTTATTATTTCTTTAAAATTTTTTATTTCTAGTATTTCTTTAAGATTATTATTATTTCTTTAAAGGTTTATTTTATATTTTTTAAAGATTTCTTGTTATTTTTCTTTAAAATTAGTTTGACTTATTTGTGTTTCTTTTATAACTTCTTTTAAATTTATACTAGACTGATCAAAGTTTGATTAGGATTATTGAGGTTTATTTAAAATTTATTTGAGATTCTATTAGACTTGATAGGATTATTGATGCATTTCTACTTATCTTCTATAGTTAGATGCCTGGTGCATTCTCACATAAGAACTTGTGTAGTATAACAACGTGGTGTAACTTCATATGTGTCATAATGTTGCCTATGCAAAAAAGAATTGAAAAAGTTTTCACATCCATTGTTAGCTTTCGCTTATGCCTTGTTAGATCAATTTCTTCACTCTCAAGCTCCTTACAAAACAAGTACCACACTAATAAAAGTTGGTCGGTATTCTCATCTTGTAGATTCTATACAAGGCCAAACTTCATCTCTACAAAGGATTTCTAAAAGGTATGCAATTCTTTCACCACAATAAATTTGATATGTATACCCTAATGTGACTATTGTAACTGTAGATTAGTATTCCTTTGCACAAATTGTATCATGCAACACCTCTTCGAACCATACAAAGTAACACCATTGGAGCCTTATTGTAGGGCATCTTACTAAGCTTATTCTAGAAAAATTAGGGTTTTTTAGAAAGAAAACCCTAATTTAAAGATGTCCGCTTAAAATGCTTCATGTCTTTTTAAAATACTACTAATATTATTTTGATATATATATATAATTTATTTTAAATATTTTTTAAATTTTCTAATAAATAAGATAAAATATCTCTATCTAAAATATTTTTATCTTATCATCATTAATATTAGTATTACTATTAATTTTAGATATATTTATAATAAATTCTGAATTAAAATCAGACATTTTTTCTAACTTAAAACCATTTTATGTTTATAAGATTGAGAGCCTTCTTACTTCTTTGTAATTATTTCACCCTCTTCCATTATTATCATACATTTAATCTTTATTTCTATGTTCAAATCCATTGTAAAAAAAATTTAAATTCAGAAAATGAAGTATGAAGTCGAGTTCCCACACGAAAAAGAATGTTTCTGTTGAACTTGAAAACTGCATGATTTTCACTCTTTTGAAGGACATTTTAAACAATTACGGGGACAGGTTCTATCGAATACTGACCTACTGCTGCGGTGAGAGCTGACCGTGGGTCGGTGTCTGTTGTCGCATTCTCGGTCATGGGGGCTTCTGTTCTAAGACTAAGGGCCTCGGCAGAGCCCACTGCTTTCTATAGTGACCTGGCGATGGTCGGCGTTTACGGTCTCTGAATGTTCTTCGACGCTGCCCATTTGTGGTGCAACTCCAATACACGATTTGTTCCTATTGATCACTCCACCGCTGTTGCTAGACGAAGCGTTTCGGATGTTTTCGTAGGGACCCATCTGCTCGTTATCAATCTTTGATCGTATGTCTTGAATGTTGCGGGGTGGAGCTCACGGGGAGCGAGTGGAGTTTGTCTCGTTTTCGGCAATGTTCGCAAGCTTTGATGGGCGGGGATTAGGTGTTGGAGCGCTTTGTGAGAAGATCTTTGTGGCGCCAATCATCACCTTGCTGTGGCCGAACTCCTGAGTGACGAAAGTTGTGGAAATTCTGAAGGTGTGCATCCTTTTCTTTTGTTGTTCTTATGTGTCGTTTACTGGTAATTACATGTTTGGGAATTGGGATTTCGACTGTTTGACGTTATCTGAATTTCTGCGTATCTCGTGCAGTGTTGTGCTAGTTGCGCTGCTCACGAGTTGTGTTTGTAGGGTAATGTAATTTGTCTAAAAACCAGCGCTTCGGATGTGCTCCAGAAATTTTCATCAAGGTAGTGGGAACTAGGGCTAAGGATGGACGGATCTCTTGCAGACTCTGTACATTTTATTGTGTACAATTGCATTTGTTGTTTTTGTGGATAAATAATTTTAATTTTCATTCTTTTATCTTTTGTTTGTGCTCTAGACCCTCCGAATGAATTGAAAGTGAGATCGTTTTTAAAAAAAGTTATAAATCCTACAAAAGTTTTGCGGCTGAATTGCAATCGCATTTGAATTTTTAGGGAATATGGTGCATCACAATTGGATGAGGTATGAATAACGGAAGTGGATGTCTTGGTTGTGTTATGGATCTTGGATGGGGCAGCAAGCTTTGGAATTCAATTGTGTCTGATGATGGGGCTGTTTGTATGCAGGAATCTGCATTGGTTGTACTAAGCTGTAGTGGAATGACCGTTTGTATCACTTGTAAGGAAGGCTTGGTATAAGATAGTGATTTCTTCTATGCGGCAATTAATCTGTAGAGGTTATAAGCGAGGAGCATTGTGTGTGGACACGAGAGATGGCATTGGAGGGGGTAAAGGTGACTCAGGAGGTTTGGCTCACATGCGTCACTCACGCTCTTTCAACCGAAACAGAAGAGATTATGGGGCTTCTTCTTGGCGACATTCAGTACACTTCTAAGGGTGGCGCAGTCGCATTTGTTTGGGCAGCGGCACCTCAAACTCGCCTAGACCGGCGAAAAGACAGAGTTGAGACGAACCCTGAGCAATTAGCTGCGGCGACCGCACAGGCGGACAGAATGACAGCAGCAACTGGGAAAACCACGAGAGTGATCGGTTGGTACCACTCGCATCCCCACATCACTGTTATGCCGTCTCATGTGGATGTGCGGACACAAGGCATGTACCAAATGCTTGATCCAGGTTTTGTGGGTCTTATCTTTTCCTGTTTCAGTGAGGACTCTAGTAAGGTTGGGAGAATCCAAGCAATTGCCTTCCAATCCCGAGATGGGCGCAGCTCCAGACCTGTTCCAGTGTGGGGTACTTCCTCTAACGCTAACCCCCCAGCCGCCACTGTTCCTGATTTTGGTGGTGTCCTAGAAGGCGCGGATCCTGAAATGGACCTAGACATGCAGCTTGCTACAAAGATGAATATGGAACAGCATGGCTCCAGTGCACCACTTGAAAATCTATTTGCAATATCTGATAATAAGCCTTCCGTTTCTGGAGCTTCATCCGATTATGTAAGAGAGGACGATGCTTTCACTATGCAAGAAGCTTTGCACTTGTCAACTTTGGATATTAGTGACGCTCAGTATATTCGAAAGGAAGTTCCTTTGGAAATACTGCCTGGCCATAGCCGCATGGAAGCTGAGCATCCTTTGAGCTCCTTAGTGGCTCTTCAGGAAATACTCTATGCAGAAGAACATGCTGCATATAATCAAGCTATGAAACAGTCTACAAATGACAGAGGACAATTACACCCCCTTGCTGCCATTCACCATTCTTCAACTTACCAGGCTTCACTCACAAAGCTGTTGGAATACTGCTTGTGTCCTGTTTCGATGTCACTCTGGGATCGGTTGCAGCAAAACAAGCTAAAATTGAAGTTGCTGAAAGAGGAGGCTGCAGCACTTCAAGCGCTCTATGCATCTAGAAGTCCTTCTCAGAGCTCCAATTCTGCAAAAAATCCTGTGAGAACTGTGTTGCCAAGTGTCCCGGCTGTAAGTACAGACAGTAGAGCCATTGTTAGGGGAACCGGAAGAGAGAGATCTTCAGAGCGGGAGCATGCTAAAGACTTGATCACGTTTTGAGAACTGCCAGACTTCCTGATAATCTAGCGAAGATTGTGGGCTTGCTGCGACCAAATAGTACCAAGGATTTTAATTAAAACCCACCAAGTCGGTCTAGTATATAATGTTCAGATTGGATAGAAATTTTCCATGTGTTTTTTTTTCAATGTCTGTCAGGTGATTTGGTAATCGAGAACCTTTCTTTCTGGCCGCTGCATCCTAGTAGTGGAAGTGTTACGTGAGATCTTACGGATTGTAACTAGTTCCTCTGGTATTTCTCGAATCATAGAGGGATCTCTGCGAAGGCCAGCGGTATTATGACGTTGAGCTTACACATACGGCATGTTTGACGGCTGAAATGCAACGTCTGTTTGTACTTTCTCTTTTAGGAGTTGCCAAATGACCCAAGTGGATTCCGCGAAGCATTGTTACCGTTGACGTGAGCAGAGGCTTCAGATATGTTCTGTGTAAATGTAAGCTACGAAGTGAATCTTCCGTGTTCAGTCTCGCGGTAGAACCCCATTTTTGCAGCGTATTGTGCTCGTGCATTGCAAGAGAATTCTTTTAAAGGAATCACAACCGAATTCCACTTCTTAGTCCGATTGTTTCTCCTCTGCGTATGTACCCATCTGTCAATGGCACACTTCGTGCAGGTTACCAACACCGCAAGGACACATCTTGTGTTTGTTTTTGAAGCATGGTGTATATGGCTTTGTATTCTGCAGCTATGTTTGGCATCTGGCATTTCCTTTTGCACAATCCTTCACTTGAAGCGTGTTATTCCAGAAACTGAAGCCTCAGTGATATTTTCTTAACAACTAAAACTTTCGAGCGACTATTACTACAAAGCTTTTATCTAGTGACGGACAGTCTCAATGAGCTGGTCACCAACGGGATAAGGAATGAGACATGGAAATGAAAGGACCTGGTATGGGACGTGGGCTGGAAGAGAGCAATGTGATAACGTTGCAGATGGTTTGAAAGCTCCCTTCGCCTCTCTTTCAGCAGCTGCTCCGTTCCAGGCTCAGAGTCCCCTTTCGCACCTTATGCTCATGCTTACCCCGTCTTCTGATTGCAGACCCATCTGAATTCCGCGTCACTCCGAGTATGGCTTGAGATTCCAAGCAATGTGGGTTTGAGGAAATCATGCTTTGATTTTAAAGTGGGTTTTTGAGGTTTTTGGGTTGGTTGAGTTTTTGAGAGAAAGGGGTAAAGGGGAGGGGGGGGGGGGGGGGGTGTGTGTGGCAGAGAGCGATGGCGGCAACTCAAGCGCGTGAGTGGACCGGACTGCTGCAGTTTCCCGTGGCCACGCAGACGGCTCTGCATAACATTCTTGGGAAACTCCGACAGCAGGTTAGTATTGGGTTTTGGGTTTTGATTTTTGAGTGTGGTTTAAGTGCCGGTTTCGGTGTTGAAGCGCTTTTTCGTAACCCGCGGTTGGAATCAATCACAGTCTTCACGTTCTCTAGAATTAGCATCTTGGTTTTTGTTGCTGGGGAGATTGTTGGAGATTGTGTTCAGCATTCTGTGTTTTCAACTCGGTCACTGGAATTCTCTGAGATGGGTATTGACAGTGATCGCATTTTGTTGATGCCCCTTGCTGGGATTCGTGCAGAAAAAGGAGTCGCTGACAGTTTTAGTGGTGGGAAAAGGTGGTGTCGGGAAGAGCTCAACTGTTAATTCAATTATTGGCGAAAGGGTCACAGTCGTCAGTGCTTTTCAGGTAATGTTACTAGGCGCAACCTGAAGATGTTGTTTGAATGGCGTTTTCAAGGTCATCGCTACCGGAATGTTTGAGATACGACGCATACGTCATTGACGACTTGATGATTTGATGATACAGTCAGAGACTTTGAGACCGCTCCAATGTGCAAGGACTAGGGCAGGGTTTACGTTGAATGTCATTGATACACCCGGCCTGATTGAAGGTGGTTGTATTAACGACCAAGCATTAGACATTATCAAAAGGTATTTGTAATCCAGATACTTCGTATTTGAACTCCGAGTGCTTGGTTATTACTCAGGTTAGCTGAAGTTTTAGGGTTCGAGATTGTGAATATTTGTGCTTAAATGCCAGACATGGCATATCATTTCACCTTTCCAATTCGGGATCATAACAAGTGTTTTCTCATTGCAGGTTCTTATTGAACAAGACTATTGATGTAGTTCTTTATGTTGATCGCTTAGATGGCTATCGTGTGGACAACTTAGACAAGCAGGTTATAAGGGCTCTAGCGCGGAGCTTTGGACCTAACTTTTGGCGCATTGCGATAATCGCGCTTACCCACGCGCAATTGTCTCCTCCTGACGGTGTGGACTACACCGAGTTTGTGAATAATAGATCAGCTGCCTTGCGGGCTGCAATTCGTCAAGAGGCAGGTTTCAAGAAGAGCGAGGGAGAGGTGAGAAAAGCTCCTCAAATGCTAGTATTCGTGCACAAATTGGCTTTTATTCACAAACTTGACATATTATGTGTGCCGCTTGGTAATTTCATTAATTGATGGAATCTATTATTGCAATTCTCGCACCTGATAGCTCAAATGTCTGTAATTTTTGTGAAATGGCACGCAGATATCCTACATGTTGGTGGAAAATAGTGGTCGATGCAACACAAATTCGGAAGGAGAAAAGGCATATAGCTTTCACCTATTTCATGAATTATTTCTATTGTATGTTCCTGTAATCGCCTTCATCGATTGTTCGTGCTTGTTGAAAATCTCGGGTATTGAATTCCAAGTGGAGGATTTGTGTTCTTAATAAGGGTATCCTTTATTCAGATTCGCTTGAATGCGAACCAGGAATCTGTGCACTGACGTTGCGGGAAATTAGCTTGAGATTAATTGTTGCAGCAAAGTTCGTAGAGCTGGTACTGGTGGAACTTTGCAGATACAATACTGGCTGTCGATGTAGACGATATAGCCGCATTGATCAATTCTCTCCTCAGTCTTCTGATTTTGACGAGGCGAAACATTTAGGTGTAATTTGCACTTGACTAAAGAATGTCCCGTTATGTTTTCCTTCTATTGATGCAGGTACTTCCCAATGGCTCGGTTTGGCTTCCAGCTCTGGTTGATCGGATAGCCGAGGTGGCAACAGGAGCTACCCCATCCATTCACGTTGATCAGAAGCTGATTGATGGTCCCAATGCTAATGGAAAGGGCAAGTGGTGGATTCCTCTGATAATATTGGCTCAGGTATGTGAGATTCACCTCTTTACTGTCGACCATTGTTTAGACATCTTTTCTTGCTGCAAGGTTCCAATGTTCTTCAGAAATGGCAAGTTACCATCCAAGAAAATCGTAGTGCAATTTTCAATTAGCTTCTTTCGTTTCTTCTCTTTTTATTTGTTTTCATGGCTGATTTTTCTTTCGCGCTGGTGTGATCAGTATTTCCTGATCGTTAGACCCATCAGAAGTGCCATTGAGAAAGACTTGATAGAGGAAGAGAAGCAACGGCCACAGTGGCAGATTAGGGCGGAAGAGTTTGTTCGTCCCACTGCATCGCTGTACGAGGATGATCAAGTTGATGAGCAGGCTATCCGCCAGGCCCTGAAACAGGGTGCACTTAACGACCAGATGGACAGTTTTGTTGAAGACGATGAGGATGACGATGAATACTAGAGTAGTTTTGCACGGCTGAAACGGAAGCAAAAGTTTAGTTACTAGTGCGCATCTGTTGTTGCACATGTAGACGAGAGTTGTGGCGCCCACCCTGTACCGAGTTGATGACCAGAATTAGGATGTATGTACTCTTTGTTGCAAGTATTTTCGATAGCTGATAAAATGTACGGTGCACATTCGAAATGTACAGTACATTCAGAATTCAGGAACACGTATATGTAGTAAAATTCCCAAGCTTCAATTCAATTATCGTCGTTTCAAGAAACCAAAAATATTCATGATAGCTCTCCCTACTATTCGTTACTCTTTGCTTGAAGTGAACTCTTCGCTGTCCTCAAATCAATAAAGAAAATCCACTAACTGAACTTTCCTAGCTCCATCTTCTTCTTGACTGCTCGATGTCCGTGGTATATAAAAGAGTCAATTATGCTTGCTACTGTATACACTCCTGCATAGCAACCGGCAGTTTTCTTCCTGATCAGTGTCGATAGCAATGGTAGCGATTTAAGTTTTTGCACCTTCTCTATTTCAATATCAGGGTAAGGCAGCTTTCAGTAGTCATGATCAACACAAAATTGCATTAGGTGGCCAAGGATTTCATATATTTTATATTGCAGCAAAACGCGAACTTAATCCAAATCAACTCCCTTCAAAAACACTGCTGTGACGTTGAGATTCTCCCGTACATCGATAAACATCAAACTTGGTTTCGAAAAAATACATTATGTAGTTTGATGAGTTCTCAAAGAACAAATGTAAAGACTTTACCTCCAACAATGGCACAAACTGTTGTCAAGAAATGCAAAAATGACGGTCTCTTCTCTGTAAACTTCACCTGCAATTGCAACCACCGGAAAAAAAAAAAAATCACATAATAACCATTAAACAATTAAATAATTAAATAAAAAGTTTCAATAAAGAGGGAAGATAGGGTGGGAAGAAGAAGAAGCAGAAAGAACAAATAGAAATGGTCATCCTTAACTTCCAGCGAAATTGCAAAATGTTTGACTGACAGAATTCTGAACCTATTCTTGCAAAACATGTTGGCCCAGATCCATATTCTACCAGCGGAGCATGCACCCACACCAGCACAAGTTAATAGTTCTCTCCATCAAACTAAAGTTGAATGGCAGGTAGCCCATTGGGATGATTTATGCTCTGCACGAGAAGTGTACAAAAAACGTAAAATTTGGTCCGTCACAGAAACGGTTGGATAGGGTACCTTGATGGGTGATAAGTCGTAAAAGAAGAAAACACCAGGAACGACTCTTGGTCCGTGGTCTCCCGCTGTATAGTGCTCCGTCACAGAAAACTAAGACAATAAAACTCCTATTATTTTTGCTTAGAATACTGCTAACAAAGTGAAACAATATTATGAAAACCAGCACAAAACAAAACCAAGCACACAAAACTCTCACACAGAAGGACGTTGACAAACCTGATTAGTAGCAATTTCACTGCCTCTTATGTCGGTGTAAACTGTAGGCACAACCTGTTTGCATGATCCCAATCATAAATGAGCGTAGCCACAAGAAAATCTTCCCATCTACTCCCATTAAGAACACCACATCCATCAAAGATCACAACCAAACTCTCATCGCAGAAAGCTGCAAGGCAATGCAACGACATAAAACACCTTGATGAAATACTGGTACATCCCATTTTGGTCCTTCTGTATGCTCGTAATCCTGCAACAAGTAGACAAAGCGGTTCAATTTCTTTTGAGCATGCGTGTAAATTAAGTAGTCGTCGAGTACAAAGGTGTGAACTAAAAGCGTTAACACTACTTCTTCAGATACACTAATACGAACAAGCAGCCTGTGGGCTCTAACTGTGCATGAAGAACCTTAAGAAGTCCAATCAGGCGCTAAATTCGTTATATCCTTAACCGCCTGACCCTTTCACAAGCGAAGTGATACATGAAAACAAAGATGAGAGCATAGTTAATTTACTTGTCCAAAGGATTCACCCGTCCAGGAAAATGAGCACCAAAACTAAGTTCGTTGACAATATGGCTTACCTGCAAGAATAAAAACCCTTCAAACGAATCAGCCAATCTGGTATCCAATTCTGAATCATGTTCTTTCATCGTGAACAATAAAGACATGAACATAGACACACAACGTAAACGAGTCCAGTCTAAGAGTTGTTTCAATGGATGTGCTACTACCTCAACCGCTGCATACTCAGAAGTCTAAGAATGACGCAGAAGCACATAAATGCTAGTGGTAAGAAAAAGTTCATCGATAATTACATTAAAGCTGTCGCTGCGGATTCCCAAAAGGTCCAGAAGATGCATAGCCGATTGCTGAAACAATTTTCCTGGAGCAATATGGAAATTCCCTGCCACCTTATTCACCTCTAATTTTCCATAGATGTTACAACCCTCTCCAGCTTCTTCCTTAACCCTCTCGATGAAACCCTCTCTGTGGCACTGAAGGGACTCAACACGCCAACGCGTGAGCAAATAAAATGAACATAAGACGGCGGACAGAATTCGAATCAGTTCAGACATGAGCAGCAAACAAACAAAATTTTGACGCATCCACAGAGTATTCCACAGTAAAGGAAACTATTGACTAGGTAACTGGTTCAACTACATTCAACTCGTAACAGATTAAGCAAGACCGACCTGATCGATAATATCTATGTTGATCAAGGCCCACCCCTTTTTTCGATACGCTTCTCGCACCTCTTCACACGAGTTACAGCATTCATCATCTGACTGCAGCAGTCAACATATTCCATTTTGTACCAAACTTTGGTAAATCAGCTTTCAACTAGGCCAGGCTAAGTCCGATTCTTTCCTTGTACTACAATTTCATTTGATTACTCCATCCTTCTCAAGGTATGAACCCTGCACCTGCAGTCTGTCTTCATGGCCATGCATACTGATGGCGATACCCACATAGAGTGTAACGATGTAAAATGATTTTCTGAACAACGCATTACTGCCTAAAATACGCAAAGAAGTTGGCATATGAGACTCACTGACGCAGCGCCAAAACAGGAGCCGCAGTATGTTTCGTTGTGTTCAAGTCTTCCACCATGCTTTTGCAACGGCCTCTGGACCTGAGTTTAAATACGTGTCATTGTTAACAATTTCCTCCTTATTCAAATGGAACAAGCTTTTAACACAGAAAGTATTCCAAGTGACGACAGAGACACCTACCTTGGTCTTACGGATTATGCTTCAAATTAAGAGAGACGAGTTCTTGAAAGCTTCCCTATCCAAATCTAAGTTGCGAATTTCGAGATTCACCTTAGGAGCATTGATGGCATCAGGTTTCGGGGCGTCGATAGCTTTTCCATGGACGTCGAGTCTTTTCTTAAAGATATTGTGCCTCTGCAGATGCACAGATGAGGTGGAAAAGAGCGAAATTGTTTTTGTAATAAACTCATAGATCACTGTTGTTCGGATGAGCACAAAAGTAGAAAAGGAAACAAACAGAGCACTTGTCTGTCGCAACCAAATATGTGTTATGTCGTGAGCAGGTTTGGAACATGCAATAGCCAAACGAACTTACCACATTCAGGTGCTGCTCACCACTAATGTCCATTGCATCTAAGCTGACAACAGAGCACGCCAATGCCGAGAACGTAATGTCCAACTGCAAAGACTTACGAAGCGACAATTTAGAAATAGCTTCTGCACTCATCATCGACTTCTATGATCTTAGGACACATGCCACTCGAACAAACGGCCCGAAAGATCAGCCAACATTCCTAGGTAAGAGAAACATATACAATGACCAATCAGCGGAAAGGTAAGAATAATGCGCAACCAAAACGTCAACAGTGATAATGAAGAGTTGAGCCTAAGCATACATTTATCTGAAGAGTTTCCCCTCGAGAAGTGTCCACCACCAGCTGATTCTGTGTCTGGGCACTTAGATATATCCCTGAAAGCCAGTAAGAGCGTTATTTCAGTTGCTAGTTGCGGGAACACCATTGCTAATGCCTGCCTCCACAGCGTTCTTTAAATTATTATGTAGATTTCTTTTCGGCCAACAAGAATATTTACATCTGAAACAACCATGTTTTTCTTCATAACTAGAGATCACAAAAAACTCACGGCTAAACCCTAGAGAGCATCCATTGCATACTGAAACACAGCGAAGCAGGTAGATGATCACCCATGGAGGATAACACATAAATGCTGTCTCAATCCGCCATTCCCTTAGAGGTAATGAAACCATGCAATAGCTGCAGAGCTGGGGGGCTATCTGAGTGACTCATGGAAGGTGGCAAGAGAAATAGCGAGCCAAGCATAAACCCTCTGGAACAAACTACCGTTGAAATCAGAGTACTAAATGGACTAATTGCAGCACAGAATCAATGTAAGTGTTTTGTGAATTATTAATCACTCCGAATGCAAGAACAGCTGACTCCATTAGACAAATCCAATAAACATCAAATTAGACAAGACAGAATCTAAAGTCACTTACGAAATTCCGTGATGAATAAAAGAGTCATAAATACGGAAGATACGAGCGTGATTAAACCACCAGATAGAGTCCGGCTGTAAAAGTCTTCACTAATCTTCGGGTACGCATCGAGATGCTTCAACTTATTGAAGAACGACATTCTTGATTCTTAACTTGATCGCTAGTATGACACCTGCCTACCGATCCACTCTCAGATGGCAAACAGGATATCAACCTTCATCAAACAATGCATAGTTCGAGGCTGCACCTTCAGAAACTCAAATGTAGCTCTTGAAGGTTCCTATCGAACCTTCAGAGCAAGTGCCAATTCCCAATCCAATCACAATACTGTCAAGGAATCCATGTGCGGTACTACAAGAAGCTCTGATACGATGCCTTCAATTCCGATAACTACTTGCTTAACAAACCCCGTAAACCAGCACGCAAATCCAGCAGAAGAGATCTCCGAACGAACCAACACGCAGAATCAGAACCCTAAACTAATGCAAGACGTTCGCAGCTTTCCGGGACCAATTCCAGCTCAGACACGGTGGTAGCAACGATCTGAAGAGAATAAAAACATGTGAAGCATAAGATCGGGCTGCCGCGAAAGGAAGCCGCAATAGCGAATCACGAATCACATCAACGACGACAAGCATGAGCAAACTCCATTTCATGCAATTCAAAGCAAGTAGAAGAGCCCGAACAGCGGGGGTCCTGGCTGGACCGGGCCGGGCCGGGCCGGGCGGGGATTTGTCCCGGGGATGCTGCGGACCCGTTCTCGTGTATGTCGGCGATTTTCGACGAAAGCTGTTGTGCTCGATGAATGAATAAATAATATTTTTCATCCAATTTCGTTTTAGCATTTAGGTGGTTTATTATTGTAAATAGTACTTTAGAGGCGTTTTAATATTTAATTATTTCCGTTATTTAAGTAGTTTCTTGTTTTGTAGTTAAAGGACTTTTTGGTTGATGTATTATTTAGTATTATTTGTTCATCATTTTTTTGTGCATAAATGTGCTATGTGTACATTATACTGTGTGTCTTTTGTAAGATACTGGTTCTTAAATAATGGGTTTTTATAATAATGGTTATGAGTCCCTCTATCACTCTTGTATAAGATATCAAGAAATGAGATATTACATTTTTGTTGACAATGGACTCAAAATTTTGAAGCTTAGAGTTTTTATTGATATACATATACATACATACGTACATACATACAGGGAGTTGTTAAAGCCACATTCCAATCTTGTTAAAGCCACACCCCCAAACCATGTGATGATTAATTTTGAAGAACAAGGAACAAGAGATGGGAGACACATATGAAACAAGAGAAAGAGATAAATGAAGGATGAAATCAATCATGAGATGGTTATATGGGGTATGGCGTTAACAACAATGATGTGCAGCTTTAACAAATCCATATATATATATATATATATATATAATCATAAAATAATTTAGTAGCATGTTGGGCACTTCTAAAACAAGATATATCTCAATTAAGGTAAAATAAAACTCAAATGAGTTTCTCACTTTTCATTAAGAGATAAAAAGTGCTACAAACCAGAATCACTTGTAGGATCATTGATAAGTAAAAAGAGTTTTTTATATTAAGGATATATTCTCAAATATTCAGGCATGAAGATTTTAAAAATCTTAGTTAACATAAACATTGTCATTGTAAATGATTTTACTTTCTTTTACCAAATTTTCACTCAAGATCTGAAATGGTTTAAGAAATATACATATACACTAGAGAGGAAATCAATTAAGAGTGTTTTTTTTTTATATATATAAATGTATCATAAAAAAATTACCCAAAAGTATTGTAATCTTTAAAAGTTGTACAATATTTTTTTGTAGGAAAGATCCAATTTCAACACAATATACATGATAGATAAAATTATGCAAGTTACTGCATTATGTATGTATATTGGGAATTAATTATTATTTTATTTTTTATCACGTCTCTAAAGAAAATAAACATACAAACAATATAGTTTCAAAACTTTGAAAACTTGCTTTACTATTTTACAATTCTTATTTGTAGCATGTGTACCATCATAACTTAACCATTTCAAACAATAATGGATCTTAAGTACTATATATATATATATATATATATATGTTACTTAAGATATAGAGGATGGGGGAAAGGGAGATGGGTATTGGGAACAAAGATGCAAGTCGATTTAGGTGAAATAGAACTGATTTTAAACAGCTTAAATGTGTGATTCTGAAGAGTGCTAATAACATTAGCTAATTATTGATTTTTGTGGATAGACAAACAAACATGATATATATATATATATATATATATATATATATCTTTTATTTGCAAAAGGATATTTTTTAGAAATTTCATGTTATGACATTTTTTTTCTTCTATTGATTGGATATTATTTAATCAATCATGAAAGACAAGTTGTAAAAAAATATATTTTTAGAAAATGATTCTTTTATATATTAACACATATACATGTATACATATAATTTAGAATATGAATTTTTTAGGCTTATATTTCATTTTTTTTTAAGAAAAAAAACTAGTTATTGAATTGGTTTACATTGTTTATTATTATTTATGAAAATAATATAAAAATAGATTATTCCTTTATTAATATTTAGGTGGATATATTTATATTATAATAATGCTAAAAACATTATACATGAGTACACACAGAGACACACACAAAGATATATATATATATCTATATATATATATATATATATATATATTATTCAAAGATTTGTTTGCTTGTTTAATTGTTTGTATGTTTGTTTGTTTGTTTTTTGTTTTTTTTTTTTTACTTATTTCATACTTTTATACATAAAAAGACTTAAAGTTTTAAAAATGTATATTATGTATATAGTTTTTATATTTAAATTTATTTTAATATAACAAGTATAGACTCTTAAATTCCATCAATCAAAATACATATTAAAATTGTATTTTGCATTGAATATTAAAAGAATTGGATTCATTAAATACTTTGTACATTTGTTTCAAAAAGAAAAGAAAAGAAAAGAAGTTTAGGTGTTGGCTTATTTGTCATGAATATATATAATATTTTTAATTATTGGCTAAATATTCTTAATTAATAAAGTATATTTCTTACATCTTTGCCCTTTAACATAAGATATTGTTTTAGTTGTTCCATATTTAGTAGTATAGGACACAAAATTTCTAATGAATAATACTAATAGAAGGATATAAAAGAAAACTTCAAATCTTGTGCATGCTATAGTTACACAAGATAGAGAGCCTTACATTTAAAGCCCAATAATTGCATGTTGCCATCCTAAATTAAGTGAATTATCCTATATCAAAAGGACTTAATTTAAAGATAAATGTCTTGCATTAGAATAACCTACTTATATTCATCTTTTAATCAATGAAAATTTAAGCAAAATGTAGTCTCCTAAAATTAGTTTTAAAAGCATTTTTCTATTGACATGTTAATTATTAAAATCTTTATTATCTTTTTCATTGTTAACCATTTCCAATTGTCTGCCTGTAAAAGTCTTCATATCTGGAAACAAAATTGTAAAATATAAAATCTTCAAAGTTTAAATGAATTTCCTTCCTTATGTATTTAAAAAAAATATATATTTCAGGCAGCGAATATTTAGTTCATTAAGAATTTATATCCTTCTCCACATAACAACCTATTATATTATTATCTCTTAATAATAATATTATTATTTTTATATTTTGTTTTGAGTTATTTCTTCAATTGTATGCATATAATGTAACACAAAAATACTTTCTGTTTGTGATGTTAATAATGATGCAGAGAGTGTTAACACAGAATAACTAATTGTTAACCAAGTAATGCTTGTACATAAAAAATGAGTGAAGATAACAGACACAAGTTTCAATCTTTATACATGAAATGAAAAATTGCTACTCAGATATTGAGACATCATAAAATATGTGGCTACATTGACTTAAGTAAAAAAAACAATTGTGAGACTGTCAATAATCCATTGCGAAGCTCATAAAAAGAGTAAATGCTGCAAACTTGACAGTCATCAAGACGCAACACAAGGTACAAAATAACAATCAAATGCATATTAGAATTGAAGTTCATACATTATTGTAATATTAGTGATATATTTTAAGGAATGATTTGTCAGATTGCACAATGTATAATATAGTGATATAACAAAATTTTCTAATCATTTTTTTATGCTTACCCAACTTTATGAACGAATAGCTAACTTATATTAACAGAAACGAACTTGAGTAATAAAAAATGTTATAAGAGTCGCAATAATTAGTTAAAAGTTTGTAATGTATGTTGCAAATAATTATGTTGAGTATATTTTTAATTTTAATGTTCTCGTTCGAAATGCTTTGAAATGTTCCTCTATAGTTTAAATTTCAAGTGTTATTGTGTTTCACGATTCTAATAATTTATTTTTATAAAACTAAGTAAACATAAAGTGGTAATGATAAACGACAACCACACATTCAAATCAGGGGACCACGTTGGCCCAGAATTCATATCAAATCATATGACACATCATTACGGGTAGAAGAAAGATAGATTAGAGCCGTGTCACCAAAATATGGCCGATCATGGAGCTGCAATAGCACTAATGGTATAGTAAAAAGGAACTGCATCCTCAGCTTCCGACAACAACTCCCCCATCATCTTAAATAAATCAAGATCCGGATCTAGTTTCCTCTGCCAACCCTGCATCAAAAAGTTGCCAGCAACATCAGAAGCCAGATTTCGTCTCCCTACATGATTTACTTGATCAGGAAATGACATTCAGGCGGTGAATGTCGATTAAGATAAGAAACCGAAAACAAGATTAGGGCATCGAATACAGAAGAACGGCAAACAAAGATAAGGAAGAAAGCAACAAAGATTACCTCCAGAATCAGAGTGGTAACCATAACAGTGCATACATCGCCATCCATGTTCACACGATGTTGGCGAACTTGGTCAAATAATTCAGTCATGCATTCGCCCGTGTTCTTTGCTGTTCCCCGAATGGATAAGTATTCATTAAATTTATCGTCTACAGCTTTCTTGAAGGCCTGAATGCAATACGAAAAAACAACTTCAGGTCTAGTTTCAACATGCAAAACAGTGTACATACAGGAAAATTTTGGTGATTTCGCATGCCATCGTACACTACACAATGAAAAAAGGAAAAAGAAAACAGTAGAACTCACTTCTGGATCAGGACAAGTTTGGTCCTCCGAAAATTGCAATGTATAATGGGCAACATCACGTCCGTTTTTAGCCGCAATAGCCTATAATACATGGCAGTCAGTTATCGAACGTGCTACAGCACTTGCACTGTAAATTGTAAATAAAAGAAAAACGAAAACATGTACCAATTACCAAGAACAAAGCCATAAACTGAGACTGGTATCACATCGAGGGAAAAGGTCAGACGCATTGTTCTGAAGTCCACTCATTTAAAATAATAGTTGTAAAAATGCCGAGGTGAGAAATTGTTTGAGACCTGCTCAATACAACTTACCTTGAAAAGACCTAGCATCACCGCACGACTGTGAGCATTCAATTCTGCTGTCATGCCCACATCCAGTAGAACAACCTTGGGAATATTATTAACAAAACGCACAAATATATTTCCTGGATGCAGATCTCCATGAATGAAATTGTCTTGCTGTAAAGTCAAGAAGAAATATGTAAGACCTCGTGCAAACAAAGTACTCACTCATACAATCACCGCCCTAGACAAAGTCCCCCAAACATTAGATGAATAAAAAGGTTTAAATATGTGCCTAACAGCATCAAGACAGACATCAGTCATCGCACCGCGTAACATTATAGCGCTGAGTAAAACAAATGAATATAATTATTGAAAAAAAAAAGGAAAAAGAAAGAAGATTGGTACATATTACAATGACGAACATAAAAAGCCTCATCATAAGAACTCACTAGCATCATTTTCAAGAGACAACTGCTGCCAATGTATGCAAGCCGTGAGTGTATCTTGGTTAGAGGGCCTGAGTTCACATACTTTGCTACTGAAAGCCCTTCTTCATAAGTCTGAAAGAACGAATTGCAAAAACAGATTAAAAAAAAAAAAAAAAAAAAAAAAAAAAAAAAAAAAAAAACGCTCAAAATTACACAGAAAACAACAGAACAAGAGTCTCGACAGTCATGAAAAACAGGACGCTGACAAAAGTTGCAAACAAATTTGAGCAGTAAAGCCAAACTAACCTCTACCAAAACTGTGGGATGAACCAAAGGATATATAGGTGTCGGAAAAGAAACATCCTTCGACTTTCTAAAATTATAAATAAATCTCTGAAGGTGAGCAGCTTCCAAGGTTAAATCAACCTATTCACAACAAATGGTTATGTAAATGTCAACCACCAGTAATATAAAAAGTTAAACGAGTAAATTCAATATTGGACACTTCTAGTCCCGTTGAGTTGAGCAATGGTCTTAAAACATTATTATAAGGCAGGAAAGGTAGCATCCCACATCTACAGCACATGCCAGAATGGGATATACTTGAGAATCACTTTAAAGTTGACAAAAGATATTGTGCATGTGATTTAATGAGAAAGACGTGGCTACAAACCTGTTTGGTCATGAAAGCAGCAAAGTGCTGCACAGTCTTATCCAATTGCAAATGCTTAAGACCTGGTAGTACTGTAGATAAAGCGGCTAAATGTCTGATGATAACAAAATCTTTCTGCATTAGTTCGTGCACCTTTGGATGCCGGACCTGAGTCACATTACCCACAAATCGCGTATAATTGGACCATCGGGATTAGATTTAGCATGGAAGGAATCAGGGTTTGAAAGGGGAAAGAGAAGTGCGTTCATTGTCGAAAAAAGTGCAAGTAGTCCATTCTAATCTCATTACTAGTCTTTAAGGTCATCATGAGGTTTATGGTATAGAATGATTTGCCTTCACAGCAACAACTAACGGAGGACCATTGCCTAGAGGTTTCCTTAATATGGCTCGGTAGATCTGTGAAGACCACAATCACACATATATTAGCACGAAAAAAGATCGTGTAGCTTATCGCATGATGTCCCAAATATCGTGATCAACAATTACAACTGCAAAACCCTTCGACACTGCTACAAGTTTAAGTAATGTCTACGCTACAACGCACACCTGAGCAATGCTGCCGGATGCTACAGGCTCCTCTTCGAATTCTTCAAACAATGCTTCAATCGGAACTCTGAAAGCTTTCAGCAAAATTTTCTTAGTTTCAGCAAAGGTGTGTTTAGGAGCCTGCAAAAACAACCAGAGATACGAAAGCAACTTCAATACACATAAAAGATATAATTATAGAAAATAAAAATAAAAAAGTTCATTTAGTGTAAGAAAGAAGAATAAATGAACTCGTATTGGTTATAAAATCCAAGTATGAATTTCAAAAACCTGCATATGAAGCCTAGACAGCTCATCGCAAATGTCAGCCGGAAAAATGTCAGGCCGTGTCGAAGCCCACTGTCCCCACTTTATAAATGCAGGGCCTGAATAGTTTAGCATAACAACATTCAATGCACTTATCAAAGGAAAAGTCCAAGATATATCGAGGAGACTATTTTTAAAAAAAGAAGTCAAGACAGTTGCCTCACACACGGGAAACATTTCAAATTACAAGAAAAGAAATCACCTCTCCCACTCACAGAATACCGACAATTTGAAGATAGACTCGATGTAACAATGGAGCTTCGGCAAAAAAGTCGATATATGAAGACATTACCTGCAGCCTCCAGAGACCGCAACAAAATATGCAACCAAAATCTTCGTAGTGGACCGTCGGCATCGGAGACAAAGGCCCCAACAAGAAGAGCCGGAGTGAAGAGTGCAACCAAAAATACTACCCTGCACCACAGCAATACTGCTTCGACTGTCTTTCAAACCAAAGGCCAGCCAGAACCGACAAAAGCAGATGTCAGTTTGTCTGCTTTAAATCACGACATTACACCACAAACATATGTGTTTACTTCCAGGTCCAGTTTCGTTTGTGCGTCAACATCAATTGACTCGAATAACACTTTATTCACATACCTCTTTGATCACTGAAACAATGCTTGAATCGTGAGTCTGACTGGTCAACTCCCAATTACCATGAAGCTGCTCAGCCGCGGAGGGTGCCTTGTACTGCTGGTACCAAGCCCCCGCCACAAACAAGGCTAAAGATTGTAAAAATACCTGAAACCAAATGAATAAAAAATACGTTTTAACCGAGCGAGTCATTCGACTTAACGTTTGCAACTAAAGTGGGCTTGAACCTAAATAATCAATTTTGAGTATGAATCTGGTAAGAAATTGTACATGCCAGCTCAAATACAACGCAGAAACCATAACGTAACAGACGAACACCACTGAAAAGAAGATGATGCGAGAGATATGAAAGTTGCAACCTGCAAAGTAGGTAGTAACCAGATATACCTGACCTTTTCTGTCAGCCAAACTGACAAAAATCGCTGGTCTCCAATAGATACTAGGGTGGCATTCTCGATACGAGGACTCTCGAGACCCTCGGTACAGAATGTTCGAACGCCACAATTTCCAAGCCTGAAACATAGACCAAGAACCCTCTTGACGCATGACTTGTGAAGGATTTGTCCCTGCAACTGTTCCGAAAATTTTCCGCCTCGACACCGAGAAGGTCACCCATGCTTGTGCTTGCGCACAGCCAGCATAAGCATCTGAAACTAAAGAATAAGCTCGCCCATTTGAATCAGGTAACTTTTTACGATAGTTCACCGACCAGAACGACCTCAAGAATGCACCAGCAACATCGTCGAAACCTGATCGCCCCCGATCGCGTGAGCGAGAGGATCGAAGAATTTGGTCCAATTTAAAAACAGGCAGGATACGCATGCCTGCAGCTTACAGATGAACCTGCAAAAGCATCATACAGCAGCAACTGTGAGTGGACAAGGGCACAGAGTAATCTATCTCCCAACGCATATTCGAATCTCACTCTAGCTCCGATAATCATCCCACTACTTATTCCAAAACATATACTCCAAGCCTTAATGAATTATAATAAAAATTACACATCATTTGAATTATTTTAGACAGGAGTACAATTTATACCACTACAAAAGAATTTGAACTGAAAACTGGTACTAAGAAGTAATGAACCCCCAAATCTAAAAGATATTCAGGATAATTTATAGAGTAACATAACCTACAATACAACACGACGAAGTAAACATATCACACAACCACCACATGTATGCGTAAATACAAATATACTGAAAAGAATATAAAACCACAATCCATACTTAGCAAGTCGAGCCTCCACCTCCTCACATCTAGCCAAGAAGGAAATTCTATAACAGACACGCAACAAGGCCCCGAATGAAGCAATCCTGATTTGGACCCGACCAGAGGACACTCAGAACGTCAACTCCAAACTCGTCACTCGACACAAAATAAACTCAAGTGAGATACCAGTCAAACCTCCAAAGTCTACTCACCGACTTATCACATGCTTACGCGCTACGCAACAGCGCAACCAGCCCCCCGAAAAACCCCCTAAACCCCGATCAAGCGCTCCTGACACACGCCCCGAATTGACCGACACTCCGCCGCCGCGGCACTCGCACCCCTCGCACACCACCAAACTCTCTCTCCCCTCTCAGACGCAGCTTGTTGAACCAACGCCTCACTGCGATTACTCAGATGACAAGCATCAGGCAACGACGAGAGAACCAGCCTCCCGAGGTGGATGTGCAACGCCCCTGCCATGCAAATCGCGAAACCCTAACGAAAAAGAAAACGAAAAAAAAAGCTGCAAAAACTGCGCTCCGCCGTGAGCAAGTGAATATGCCACGTTGAATTTGGCGGTGGCAGCATCAGCAGCGACGGTTCCCGTCCGAGACACCGGAGACGCAATCGGTGACCTCGGGAAACGACCTCAACGATGGCCACAAGCTCGAGACCTGGCTTTAAGGCAGAGAGCGAGAGAAAGAAGGGCCCTATTCTGGTGCAGAACTCCACGCCCGCCACGTCCAGTTGAGCTGACGTCGACATCTGTGGATGGATTGATGGCGAGAGATGAATGAATTAAAAAATCATCCGTCACCATCTTCGTTTCTGGTTAGGTCGGACGCGTGTCCTCGCCATTGCCCCTCGTGTAGTGAAGATTTGCTGCTCAATCTGACGTGGACACCATTCGTGAGCCACGTCAGATATTTGCTACGTAAGCAAATATGGCTCCGGCATTGTGATGACGTGGCTCACTGCTGATCCGGCCATTCCACACAGGTCAAGTCTTGGTGTCCAGTTTTCATTGACCGGAGATGGGTGGATGAATGAAATGTAGACGAATGAATGTATTATTTTGTTCATCAGTACGATTTACAATGAACGGATTAGGTTGTTTGCAATGACCACTTAAGTCAAGACAATTAATAGTTTAAAAGAAGTGTTATAAATACATTTATGATGCATTAAAGTTTCATATCCTTTATTACATTTTATACATAACATATATGTATATGTACATAAATATATATATATATATATATATATATATATATAATGCAAAAAAAATGCAATCTTTGCAAGGAACTTTGTGCCAAATTTTATCACAATGATTCAAAATTCATCTTTTTTATAATCTGGTGGATCTAGGGACACGATTCAAATTTAAGCCAATACTTTGAATTTATTTTTGGACATAACACTTTATAAGTTATTTATGACTTAAAAAATAAGATGGTTTATATCATCAATTCAGTATGCACCTATATATATGTATATATATTCATATGTATATGTTTATATATGCTCTAAAAAATATTTTCTATTTTTTAATGTGCATAGTTGTTGTATGAATTACCTTTTTCAAAATAACAAAGAATATATGTTTCAAATAATTTTACAGTTTCTACATTTTTGCCTTTTGTATAGTTTAAGAGGGGAAAGGAAGTATTGATAGATTAAATATGTTGAATTGGATTTGTGAAAGAACACAAGAACTTATTTCAGTTAATTAGAATCATGGTTATTTTTTTCTACAATATTTGGTAATTTAAGAGTTCTTGATCATTCAATAAATATATATATATATATATATATATAAGTATAACTTAATTTTTTATATATTTGGATTTTTATTTTATTTTATTTTATTTTATTTTTATAGTTTGTTGTAACTTTCCAACAAAAAAATAGAAAATTTGATCTATATTTTTGTGAGCTCTCAATTATACTCTAAAATTTAAATTTTTGTTATTTTCCTATTTTATGATAATTGAGCATATTAGATTAGGATTTATATAAGTTAAATTTAATTTTATAGAATTTTTAGGATTACAACCCTTAATGGTATAAATTATAGCCTAATTCCTTGAATTAGGTTAATTAGGATTAAAGAGATAAGAGTTAGAAAATTATAATATCAACTTATTTAATTTAATAATTTAGAGGTTGTTAGTCATTACTATGAGGGTTGACACTCAAAAATTTAGAGGTTGTTAGTCATTACTATGAGGGTTGCATGTTGTTAAGGTACCTTTGCTTTCATCTCTCTTATTTTATTTTTATTATTACCTTCACAATGAATTGTAATCTCCACATTTTACCTTTTGGCTAATAAATTTTAAGTTTTAACTTTCATTCTTTAATATTCTCACTTTAACTTTCAACTTTAACTTTTAAACTTAATTTTTAATTTTTACTTTTTAACTTAATCCTTATAATTTTAAATTTTAACTTAAACTTTAAATTTTAACTTTTAACTTTATTTTTTAATTCAAACTTAATTTTTTATTCTTATTATCAATTAATAGTAACAACTTAGTTAATTTTTCTTTTACTATGTTTATATAGTAAATTTCTTTTAACATTTTAATTTAATGTCGATAATCATTGCTTGGAAGGCATTAATTTGAATTGAATTAAAAATATCTACATTTAAGTTAAGTCAATAATTTAACAATTGAGAGTCCTTTCATTCCACCCTTTGAACCTATTGTGTGGCATCAATTTAATGAGTGGTGAATTTGGGGCTCACAGTTTTATAAAAATAAATAAAATTAAAAATAGGAACAAAAATATATAGATTTGAAGAACTAAAAAAATCTCCATTTTTGTTTAACATCATCAATAACTCCAATAATAACTTAGGGTTTTAGAACAAATTCTAAAATTATTTTAAAATATTTTGGCATGCTTAAATTTTGATTATTTTAAAAATAAAAAAATTAATTTAATTTTGGAAATAAAAAAAATCATTTTACTAATTATTAAGTTTAAAAAGCCAAGAAAAACAAAAAACAAAGAAAAAAAAACAAAACAAAAATTGCAAAAATATTGAATCAAAGTTACTACACAAATAAACTACAATTGTCTTAGTAAAGTATATGATTTGTCCAAAAATGATAAATATTTTATAATTCTTTAATTTTCATCTTCATTCTTTTTTTAAAATTTGATTGGCTCATGGATCTTAAATCCAATATTGATGTTTTAATCATGCAATCCATAAAATCAATTGTATTTTTCTTTTGGTTTCTTATAGCATTGGATTTAATTGTATACTTTTAATAGGGATTTAGATTATATATATATATATATATATATATATATTCATATTTATATATATAAAAAATTATATATAGTAATTCATAAAAAAAATAAAAAAGATATCAATTACTAGAATAATTTATTTTTATTATAGTATATATTTTTTTAACTAACACTAAATTTTAAATTATCAAAGTTTCTTTCAATACTTTAAAGAAGTATCTTTAACAAATAACATTGAATTAAAATAGAAATATATATATTTTTAAAGTAAATAAAACATTAGAATTTTAATCTAATTTGTTTAGTATATAAATTAGAAGTATTGATAACACAAATATAAAAAAAATCATAAGAAATTATTATAATTATTTTTATATTTTAAAAAAATTAATTAAATAATAAGATAATATTTTTTAAAATAAATATTATTTTAAATTGATAATCATTATTTGTTGTTGCTTTCAAAAAACCACACATGAATATACACTCTTATCACATTTATTGAAGAAGGATCTACCTCCACCTTGATTGTCGCAAAAGAACATCTAAGGTTCCATGACTTATTTTGTAAGTATATTCTTTAAGCACCACACACCTACTGAGCATAAATCAAATAAAGTAAAAAAATAGAAGAACGTGCAATTGTTAATTCCGTCTACTATAAATATCATGGAATAATCATGTTCCATTCTATTCTACAAAAAATGATCTTATTCATACGTTTGTTGCACAAGCAGAGATTTGTCTTCTAAACATTCAATTAGACTTAATACAACAATCTAACATATTAAGTATATAATTAGTAAAAGAATGCAATATTGATAATTAAAAGAATCAAGTAAGAATAATTTCTTTAATCCTTGGCATTGCAACAACAAGAGTATAGAAGTCAAAGGCAAGTTTCAATAAAAACATGGTTTTAAACTAATAAGCTTCTATAACAAATGGAATGAAAAGAAAGCTGGAGTTGGATATTGCCATCTCTATGTAGTAGTTTGGGTCACTCTATTAGAAATATTATATGTATTAATATGATCAATATTACACAATATATTGTATATACAAGAATTACACTCAGAGTCACAATTCTTAATATAAGATCAATACTTAATAGATAATATTCTACTGTATTATATAGAATAATTCTTCTAATACTTCTATTAAGATATTAGTCTTCATTCTCAAATTGAATTTTATCTATAGTAGAAGTTCATCCATTTTTAAAATGGATATGTGTGAAAAATATAGGGTTTCAATTTCCTTTCTGGTATTGCAATATTAGAAAGCTTTCTTAGAGTTTTCTTGCAACTTCTTAATTCTAGGAAGGTATGTGATTTCTTTTGTTAATTTATATTTATTTATTGCTTCTTATTTATTATTTTTACATTTTTTGTTTTAGATTTTTGATTTAGATTTTATTAGGATTTACTTAAGGTTGTTAAATTTTATTTTAAATTTTATTAAGGTGTGAGCTAAATAAACCTCTACTATACTAATTGGAAGTTTATTCTAAATCACAACAAGTGAATTAATCTTAGAAATTTTAGTTTTTATTTAAAGCTTAAAAAATCCTAAATTGTTTAAACCCTGAATTGTTTAAATCCTAGTCTAATCATTATTCTATCATAGTTGATCCATTGTGATTCATCCGCCTAACCAATCCAACCTGGAATGCTTATTGAGCAAAATGTGGGTGAAGGGAATCGCCGTCGCTGCTTCCTGCTGCCAGCTCCAACACCGTCTACCAGGTTGCCTGATTGCTAGATGAGCTGTCATTGTAGTGTGCAGGCTCCCTCCAATCAGACACCGAGCTGTAGTACATACAATTTAACTCTATTGATTGTGCGAATAGCAATAACATGACCATGAACTGCACTCTTCAAAGTGAATTCTACAGCTCCACTTCATGCCGTTGCGCCACCACATCCGGTACAACTCCTCTGACTGAACACACCGCGCGATCGGAGGAGCTGGAGGTAACTTTGGAGTCTAGTGTTCCCACGTCGATAATGGCTTTTTCGCTTAAGTGAATGAGCCGTCTACGGAAAAATTCAAAAAAATCTTGATTTTCCTGCGCTTGTGCAGATATTGAGCTACTAGTCAAGGATTCTGTCGTATCTTACTTGCCCTTCACCAACAGGCCATCACCATGCTCTTACTAACATGAGCGCAACATAAAAATTGATTTCACAAGCCTCTCTTGAACTATTGCCGCATTACACTTACAGCACCAAATCTAGACTAGAACAATACAGCCAGCTCTCCACAGTCCTCCGTAGAGTCAATCACTCCGAGGGAAACAAACAAAAAAAAAAAAAAAAAAAAAAAAAAAGTTGTCGGTGATTGAAATCTTGGTCGAACCAGCGCCACCGCAAGCCTCTACCACCGCGCAGAACCGCCAACACGCACTAGACCATACAAGTTGAAACCATACCAACACTACGCCAATGCGCTACTCCAACTACCGGCATCGCACAGAAGTCGCAACCTGTACCAGATCCCGAATCGCACCGAATCGTCGTCCGCACCATCAATCGCCTAAGGGATAAGTACCGCTAGTCAAATTTGACGCTTTTGCAACTTGTGTTGTCAACAACCTTCGAACCTGCTCAACAACTCTCCGAAGTGCGACGCGATCTTCACTTGTTCGCCCCCGTCTCTTCTTTGTGTCCTGCAAATCAAGGCTCAATCGATCTTCGGCAGCATCGAATGCATGACTCCGACCGCACTCGAGCCTACGCTGCACAGAAACTAGCACGTTGAATTGAGAAGATCTGATCAACTGCAACCGCCAAAATCCGCAAACGCAAATGCAAGAGAAACCAGAAGGCATAGATGCGCTCACTGAGCTCAACCGCTGCACGACCAGCAGGGCCGCATCTCACGATCAATAATGTGACCGTTTTCAAGCATCCACTAGCCGCAACCACGCAGCAACAAAGCAACACTGCCGAGAATCCAGTCCGTTTTCCAACGTCGCCCACCAAGCGAGTTGTCCGACCAGCAGCACAACACCATGCAGTACAGGCTCCCTCCACATTGAAAAACAGGAACAAAAAAAGGAGGAAGGTGACAAAAATATGGCACTTCCGCGTAGCCAAACACTTGTAGGAAAAACACATCGGAAGAGAACTCTCTAAAAGTCGGAGCCTCAGAACGCCTCGCCCAAAAAAACCTAGACAAGATGAATTTTAGAGCGCTCGGACCTCGAAACTCGCATAAGAAAAAGAAAAAGAAAAACACAAGAGATGGGATTCGGGGCGGCCTAGACTCCTATCGGCAGAGAGGCTGCTGCAACCTCTCTCCCTTATCATCCTTCTTCTTTTCTTCTTCTCATTGCTTTTTCTTTCCTTCTCGTCTTCTCTTCTCTTTTTTTCTCTTTCTCTTCCATATTTTTTCTCTTCTTCTAACTTATTATATATATATATTTGAATTGATTTAAATCCATCATTTTTTTTAGCTTCTTATCTTAATTAAAAGTCCCCAACAAGCTAGATTATTCTTCTTGGACAATCATCTAGTATTAGATATTTTATTTTTGCTTTTTTTTTTTTAAAAAAAAAAAACCTATTCATCTTAAAAAATTGTCTTGATAAATTCTATCGTAGGTTGCATATCCGCTAATAGTAATCTCTTTTCTATTCTTCCTAAAAATTCTACTACTAAGTCAAAAAACTTGTATTCTAAAGCACAATAAGTGTCTTTTTTATGTTAAATACCCAAGTGAATCAATTCAGTGATTCATATAAGATTATTATCTTTCATTTAGAATTTGGTTAGGGTTTACGTGGGATTTAATTAGGATGTGTTTAAAATTTTATTAAAAATTTCTTTAGGATTTTTTTATAACTTCTTTGAGAATTTTTTAAGATTTTTTTTATATTTTAGTTATGATTTCTTTAATATATTTTTTTAAGAATTTATTTGGAATTTCTTTTAATATTTTTTAAGATTTCTTTCATTAATTTATGAATCATCTAATGATTTTTCAAAAATTTCTTTAAGATTCTTTAGGATTTGATTAAAGTTTGAATAGAATTATTAAGAATCAATTACGGTTTTTTTCGAAATTTATTAAAAATTTACCTTTTACAACTACAAGCCTAATCCAACATATATTATAACAACAATATTTATTTATTTTTGTGTAGATTTTTTTTGGGGTTCTTCATTTTAATGATAAATGTCATAATCTCAATTCCAAGTGATTTTGTTCTTTTAAAGTTTTCAGATATATGTCTTTGGTGCGGCTTTTAATAAAAACTAGATCTGTCATTATATTAATAGTTATCTTGATTTAAATTTTGATAAATTGTCAAGGACTTAAAATTTCTCTTTTGACTTCTGAAATTGAATCCTCTTTGATGGTGATTGCCAGTTTCCTCCCTCTTTGGTTTATAGGTCTTTGGTTGTAAAAGAAACATGGACCTTATTGTTATATGAGAGCAAGAGCTTTTAGCTCTTTTTTGAATCCATTATTTTTCTTGTTCAATTCTTTATTAAAAAGTTTCATTTTCATTTTTGAGTAAAAAGACAAATTTCTCTTATTTGAATTAACTTGCTTTATGATATTATAATCTATAAAGAGATTCTTTAACATGTAATATATAACTTATTTTTTCCCATAATCTTAACTCTACTTTCTTTATCTAATTGTTATTATCTTTGTGTTAGCTAGATATGCATCTATATTGCTTGTTTCATAAATTGTGAAGAATTTATTTATTAGTGATATTTATTTAGCCATACTATTGAATTTGTACCAAGATTTTGAGAACATCCATTACTTGTATGGTTTCTAATAGCATTATAGCAACTTTGATGTTATATCACTTTTATATTGCTATTGATGGAATTCAAGGCAATTTGTTTGCCACGTTTTTTTAATTCACTGATGATGTTGTTTGGTGTACTAATATAGAAATTTTAAAGATTATCCTTCATAAGAATTTTCTTTGTTTAAAATGCCCATGACCTACAATTTTCTATTTCTTTTAAGTAATAAGATTTTGGAATCAAACTAGTAGTAGTGATGTCCAAATCTAATATGTTTTTAATGCATAGATTATTATTTTTTGTGATTATATTAATACTTTTAGAAATTTAATTCCTTTATGTTTAGATTCATCATCCAAGATTGCTACAAATAATTCACAATCTACCTACTAATTTTTATATTAACCTAAATTCTAATACTATACAAAATGATATAAGAGATTGAAAGAAATGTAGCACAAAATATGATTTAAGTAACTAAAAGAGGTAAAATGGATAAATTTTATACAAAAAATAATAAATTTATATAATTATTCTATGAAATGAAGTTGATTGCTTAAATTTGTAGATGAATGAATGCACACATTGTCTTTTAATCTTTATCATCTATTAATCAAGTATCATGGACATACATATTTATCCAAATAAAAAGTATTAGATAAAAGATAATTATAAGTAGATTTGATGATATCTTGTGGTAAGGTTTTTTTAAAGCTTTAGAGATACAGATTTGACTTTAGACATATTTATAATTGATTAGTAGGTTAAAAACTTGGCCAACAAGTTAGCCACGTGTTGCACTTATTGATAGCTTGTGGTACAAGCTAATTATATGGCATAAATAAAAAACACTTATCTTGTGAATAGACATGTGTCTCATAAGTTGGACACATGTCAAAGTTCTTATAAAATATCACTATGTAGTTGCTAATTAAATAGTAAATATTGAGACAAAAATGAAGCATTTTTTACTCTCGCCAATACTTTTTATGTTCTTAGTTTTATTATAAGAGACTCTAGTCTTCTTATCTTTTGTAATAGCAATTTTAATTTAATATTATACTATTTTTGAATAATTATCTATTTTTTTTAATAACACAAGAAGACAATGATTCTTTAGTTCTTTGATATTTATGTCCTTGATAGTTTGATAAGAGGGTTAACTCATTTTTCTTGTTTTCTTTTAGAAGTGAGTAGATTATCTCACTTCTATTGTTGTATTTTGAAGGTTACAAATTATCTACTTTTAAATTAATATTTAAATTTTTTAATATTGATTTTTTTTCTTAAAAAAATATGTTATCTTTTTTTTAGAATTTTTTATTTAATATTAGAGATTATGGATTACATTCCTTCAATTTGACTTATAGATTTTTTTATATTTTCTATGCAAGAAAAAATTATGGATACTATTGTCAACAAAAGTAAAAATAGATTTATAATTATTGCAAAACTTCATAAGCTTATCAATACTCTTAAAGTGGAAATCTCATATATTTTTAACATCAACCATAGAAGTAGTATTCCAATGCTTATAATAGAAGTTAATAATAAAATTTAAAATCTAAGCCAAAAAGTTGTACAATTGAAAAAAACAAGTAAATCAAATTTACAACTAAATCCAAGAAGCTTTAGTATTACAAATATAAGAAAGGCAAGAATAAGTATCCTAAAAAAGTTTGATGGAACAAGATTGAAGTTTTGAATATTTTTACAACAAATAAAGTTCTAATTAAGATTGCATCCTTTTCAAAATCCTAATGGATTTACTCATGTTGGATTCATATGTACACTTCTATCAAGGAGTACTTTCTCTTAATTTGTAACTTTAATGAAAAAGAATTCAAAACTTTTTTATGATTTGAATATATTTTTAAATTATTTATTATTATATTTAAAAATAACAATAAAAAAGTAGAAAAAATTAAACTTCTATTTTATAATAAAAATCATGTTCAATTATTATATATATTATTAAATTTCAAAACCTTGCTTACGATATAGATTCAAATAATTAATTCTTTATCAATTAATTTTGATATGGATTAAAAGATAAAATCATAGATTAATTATTGATAATGTTGAAAATAAATTTTTAAAACTAATTTATTACTTCAGCAATTATATGCAATGATTATTTTTTTTAAAGATGACAAAAATAAAGGTTTGATTGGAGAGGTACAAGTCAAGTCATAACAACAACTTCTAAGTTTTTAAAAGCTTATTTATTAAGGCCATAACTAATGCTAATATATATAGTATGTTTTAAACTTCTTATTGAACAAGAAAAGATTCAAATTTTTTAAGAAGATTTGTACTTTTATTGTGAAGAATCTAAATACACTATTCAAAAATGTTTAAAAAAATAATCTAATCACAAAATAAAGAGCATGGTTACTACAGAAAACAATGTTTTGAAAAACAAGTTTCTTTAGATAGAATAGAAACTTTGTAGTTGGAATCTTATGTAATATTCAAAAAAATTCTTATTCTCTATATAGATCCTTGATCTTGTTTTATAATAGAAGTTTTTTTAGGACTAGAAAATCACAAATTTTGTATCTTATTAGATTTAAGAGCCTTAGCTTGTTTTGTACATAAAAGTTTTCTTAAAAAATAAGAAATATCTTTGCTTAAAAACAAAAAAACCATATAGATGATTGTTTTTTGTTTGTAGAAGTCATAGATGATTGTTTTTTGTTCTTTAGAGATATTATCTATAAAATTATTTATTTAAAAGTAGCAACTAAAGATCATAATAGCTTAATAATATTTGATGTAATTAGATCTTCTTCCAATCTAATTATTTTAGGATTATTATGGCTAAAAAGGTATTATCCTCAATTAGATTGGATTTCTTATAACCTTAAATTTTTGCATAGTTTAATCTAGAATTTTGTTAGTCAAACAAAAATCCATAAATCTAATTTAATCAAACTTTCATTACTATGTGCAAGAGCTTTTAAGGATGTTGTAAAAGAAAGATCATCTTTTGCTATATATGCCACATGCATTTTCAATTATAGAAAGACTTTAAGTGACATTCCAAGCTAGTATAAAGATAATGAAGTCTTTTTTTTAGAAGAATACAATTTTTTTTTTTAAATTATTATTTCTATGATTGTTTAATTGATCTTCAAGAAGGAGGGCAACTACCATTTGGACCAATCTATAGCTTATCACAAAATAAGTTGGTTACATTGAAGAAACACATTAACTAGAACTTCACAAAAAATTTCATACTTTATTTTTAATCTCTAGAAAGAGCTTTGATCTTATTTGTAAAGAAAAAAAGATAGATCTTTATGGATGTATATGGACTATTAAGGACTCAATAAAATCTTTATAAAGAATAGGTATCTTTTATCTTTGATTTTAAACTATCATGACTAACTCAATCGAATCAAGATTTATACAAAGAGAATACAA